CTCCAGGGTCCCAAGTCCTTTCGTCTTGATGTGCTCGCCAGATACACACCAGACAGCGACTTGTTCGTATGGCGCAGTGGGTATTCTCGTTCCCAAAGCGTTCGACGCAGCTCGAGTTCCTGAAGGGGAACGTCTCGACGTTACGGACATTAACACCGAAGGGAACGAGACGCTGCGTCTCCCTGCCATACTCCCTGCATCCCTGCAGGCGCTCGCTTCCGCAGAAGCTAACAGGCGTGCTGGCCGGATGTGCCTTTATGCTTCCTGGCTGCTTACGTCACCCCGCTCGTGACGTCTCGCTTCGCTATTGGACTGATTTCACACAGGCTTCAGTACGGTGTCCCGCCGAGGGCGTTCCCAAAGCGTTCGACGCAGCATCTCGTTCCCTTCGGGGAACCATGGTTACATACGTAACCTCGAGATGTTAGGATTACTTGCATATAATTATGCATAATTTATTGTTATTACAATAGTAAGTACATGTAACGTGTAACAAGGACACCTTAAAATAAAGAGTTACCATGCAATATTGTAGTTGTAACTGTCCCACAAGCTATACTGAGCAGTAATGAATTCTATTCTACATTCTATGATCTATTCTATAATCTATCAATTCTGTTTTATTTTATTCTATTAGTATGTTTTTTTCCTCTACCTGTGTATTTGTAGTAGATAAAAATCTGTCCACTATCAGCATTAATAAGCAATTCAATCCTATTTTAATGTTATTTTCAGCAGATCATCAGATTGAATTATCTTCATTGTTTGTAATCAAAAGGTTGTTCTTGACTAATTCTAAATTCTTAATTTCTTGTCCCAGATAACATATACTGTAACAGACGTGTTCTCATTTTTCCTTCTATAGGTTTACAGTATTAAGAAAGCAATAATATATCAATATATTCTCTATAAACAGAATTTTATGCAGACTTCTGGTCTAAAGTATGTAGGTGTGTCTTAAGGCTGTGTCAGGAGAACCAGACACCCTAAACAAGCTCAACGAAGCAAATGTAGCCAATAATAAATCTGGTTTATAAGGCTGTTTTCAACAATTGCAAAATCCATCATTCCTCAGTGATACGGAATAAACAGAAAAAGATCAACATTTGATACAGTTGCCAAGTACAGTTGAGACGTGACAGGATCCTGAGAAATGTGAATATATGAATTAATGAACAGAAGCAATGCTGTGAAGATGAGTGGGCCAAAATTCATTTGAATTTGAGAAAATGGAGGGTATGCTTTACAGGTGCATCTCAATAAATTAGAATGTCGTGGATACAGCACTCTGTGAACAGCCAGCTTCTTTGGCAATGAATGTTTGTGGCTTCACCCTTGTGAAGGGGGTCAATGATTGTCTTCTGGACAACTGTCAGATCAGCAGTCTTCCCCATGATTGTGTAGCCTAGTGAACCAAACTGAGATACCATTTTGAAGGCTCAGGAAACCTTTGCAGGTGTTTTGAGTTGATTAGCTGATTGGCATGTCACCATATTCTAATTTGTTGAGATAGTCAATTGGTGGGTTTTTGTTAAATGTGAGCCAAAATCATCACAATTAAAAGAACCAAAGACTTAAACTACTTCAGTCTGTGTGCATTGAATTTATTTAATACACGAGTTTCACAATTTGAGTTGAATTACTGAAATAAATGAACTTTTCCATGACATTCTAATTTATTGAGATGCACCTGTAGACATCCTAGTACAAGCCATATGATATTGGCATTTATTATCTAATGTTTATAATTAAGTCTATATTAGAGGAAACCATTTTTATGGAAAAAAAGACAAGCAATTATTTAACTCCTACTTTTTTATATAAAATAAAAATAAAAACAATCAAATGTTGTTTGATGTGAGATTATTATTGAGATTATACACAGATGGAAAAACGCACGAGTAACAAAGTGAGGGAGGCAGTTTTGCAGAGAATTTCTTAGCTATATGACAATATAAACATTATTTCATGTGATTATTCTTATTTTTGCAGAACGAACAGAGAATAGCATACAAAGAAGTATCTGTATGGGAAGACAGATTTAAGTAAGTGATTAATTAAAGGAGTCTGTACGTTATGTTTGTTTATTTGACTCACTATCTGAACATAGTGATGGTGTGTAAAGGTGACTATTGAATCATGCGATTTATCAATAGCAACAGTGAGGTTTTGGTACAGTCATGACTCAGAGGACTGTAATCTACCATAATATACCATGGGACAAAGGTTTAAACTATCTTATCAGTGTGGTTTCCTGGGATTAAGCAACATGTTTTAGGATATGAAAATAAAAAAATCTACATACAAGAATAGATAAAAAAATTCTATATGTTAGAGAAAAGACCTATAAGTTAACATACGTAATGCAATTGCTAATGAAAAATATAAGCATTTATTATCTTTTTAATGTTAATTTTTACATACAAAAGTTAATACAGTAAAACAGTAATATTGTGAATATATTTTGAAAATAACTGTTTTCTATTTTAATATGAAAATGTAATTTATTCCAGTAATTGTTCAGCCATAACAGTCTTCTGTGTCACATGATTCTTCAGAAGTCGACCCTGGACCACAAAACCAGTCATAAGGGTAAATTTTTTGAAATTGAGATTTATACATCACCTGAAAGCTGAATAAATAAGCTTTCCATTGATGCATGATTGCTGTTGGATAGGACAATATTTGGTCGATATACAACTATTTGAAAATCTGAAATCTGATGGTGCAAAAAAATCTAAATATTGAGAAAATCGCCTTTAAAGTTGTCCAAATGAAGTTCTTAGCAATCCCTATTACTAATCAAAATTTAAGTTTTAATATATTTACGGTAGGAAATTTACAAAATATCTTCATGGAACATGATCTTTACTTAATATCCTAATGATTTTTGGCATAAAAGAAAAATCAATAATTTTGGCTACTGCTAAAAATATACCCAAGCGACTTAAGACTGGCTTTGTGGTCCAGGGTCTCACATGTTGATTTGGTGCTCAAGAAACATTTCTTATTATCAGTGTTGAAAACAGTTGTGCTGCTTAATATATTTAATAGGTTTAATATGTATAGTGGAAACTGTTATACATATTTTACTGGATTCTAAGAAAAAGAAAGTTTAAAAGAACAGCATTTATTTTCAATAGAAATCGTTTGAAACAAATGTCTGCACTGTAACTTTTGATCATTTAATGCATCCTTGCTGTATAAAGAGTATTATTTCTTTATTTTTTTTTATTTGGTTTTGCATCCTTTAAACCTCTGAATGATAGTGTATATTAAACTACATTTTTAACATTTAAATTTTGTACAAGGAACACTCCTTACAGTAATTAACAACAGTATATCTAAAAATGAACATTACCATATATTCATAAAAGCTGTAAAAATAGTTAATATTTCATGATAAGGTTAAGCCTAAACTTATTGTAAAGTGTTACCCAACCTTCATATAAACTGAACCACACTCACTTGTCATGTCCATACATGAATACAGGTACAATACATTTGTTAAATTTTTTCCCAGCCGTGTGCCTTCCTTGTATGACTGTAATACCATTAACTTCCAACACTTTTATGTTCAAAATTATGAATCAGCTAAGCAAACAGATGCTAAGGTTTCAGTTGCAAAATAACATTTCACATTTTGAAACTTGTGCGAAACTTCCTTAAGCCAAATCCCCTTATTAATGAAAGTGTCTTTAAGCAAACCGTTCTATATTTAACAGCAAAAAAAAAACAGTTCATGATCTCCAGTTTTCATTAACAAATAACAAAACAGCTCATTTCCATTGGGAGGCTACATCACGTATTCAGATGATTCATAACACTTTACAGTAAAGTCATTAACAAACATAATAAAATGCTTAACAGATCAGTATGCACATTCAAATCTGTTAAACCTTATATAACATGATGTGTGTTAATGGCGTACTAATCAAAGTATACAGTTCTTATGTTTCTGATATTCGAATGATTCACTGAAGTATGTGGAGGAAAAAAAGGTTTGAAATGATCTTCTTTATTGTAAGTTTAGCTTGAGTCAAATACTTTAGAATAAGTTATTAAGAGGGGGTTGACCTCTACTCATCTAGCTTTAGTGGTTCACTCTGCTGGGCTGGACCTGATTTGGAACATCATTCACAGGGAGCCTCTTTTTACAGGCATCATAAACATGCATGCGTTATCAGAAAACAGGGTGGAATAGGAGCGATTTCCATCAGTTCTGGTCACAAGACAAAAATAAATTTGGCATCAGAAGTAATAGTTGTAAGCACTGATTCATTGTCCAAACAAGAATCATGATTTCAGCGAAAAAGTACGCTTTTGTATGTTGAAGTACGCTTTTGCAAATGAATATTCAGGCCCACAGTTTATTGTCATACAGTAATGAAAAACTAAACTTGTGTATGCATTTATTTTATATTATTTTTACAAGATAGTAAAAATCTTGATCTAGATTCTGACTGATCTGGCCTCCTTTGAAACATAAGAATTCATTGAACTTATGGACTGCTAATTCTATAAAAAATATATATTTTCAACTTTTTGTCCTAAATTTTCTATATTTTAGATTTGGATTTTAAGCTTACGTCAACAGGGAATTCCTGGTACTATTCAGACTAGTCAAAAAAAAATAAAATGATAAACCATATGGGGATTCCTGATTTAAGAGGTCACTTCAAAGGTCTTTGTAACGTATGAGTCTGCCCATAAGACCTAAGAGAATGGGGGGGACACACCCAGGTCCTATCACGAACAGTTACTGATTCACAAAACCGGTTTTGTCATAAGCTATGTACAATTATATTCGTGAAAGTGATAAAAATTGCCCTGCCTCACTGACCATGCATCACACGACCCTTTATAAACTCAAACAGCTTTCTCACTTCTGTCTAAGTGAACCTAACACCATCCATTAATCCAGACATGGGACATCTGGAGTTAATACTAGTATTAACATGGATAACAGGTTGCTTTACCATAGACAACAATGCAAATAGGTGAGATGCTCATGATTTAGTAATTTGGTATAATGTTTCAGTAGTAATGTGAATGTAAATCTTATTTTGCTTTTATTAAGTACCAGATTCAGTAAAAGATTTGATTATTTGCAAATACATATTGTAAATATATAAACATATATTATAAGTAATATTTATACATTTACATTTAGTCATTTAGCAGACGCTTTTATCAAAAGCAACTTACAAATGAGGACAATATAAGCAATCAAAACTAACAAAAGAGCAACAATATATAAGGGCAAATGACAAGTCTCGGTTAGCCTAACACAGTACACGTAGCAAGGTGTATATATATATATATATATATATATATATTATACACACACACACACACACACAAAGAAAAACAAGTAGATAGAATAGAAAAATAGAAAGCTAGTGGGTTTTTTTTGTTTTTTAATTATATACTTTATATTTATACAAAGTACATGGTTCAGTAAATAACTAATTATCATTTGCACCAGGCATTTAAAGAGAGCCACATGTTTCTAACAATTAGTTATATGAAAACAGGCAAAATTAAAAACTGTAAGTGTAAAAGCATGTTAACATATCAGAGTCTTGCTCTTTCTTAATTTTATACACAACATTAACGTATTGCCAAGGCATTAATTGACACTTCCTAACAGTTTTTATTCAAATGTAATTAAGCATTTAACATCTGATCATAATGATGGAAACAAATGATAAATATTATGATGATGACTACTGTTATGTAACTGAATTACACTACTTTTATGCCTTTGTAGAAAAGAAATTCATGTGATTATGCAGCTAATCTAATACTTAACAAGCATGGTAAAATATAGCCAGCCATTTCATCTTTTTTTCTGATATTAGTCAACTCAGCCTGCCTTCTTATTTCCTGTTTTTACAGATTTGACGTGACAGAGAGAGATGCAGGTAAGTAAATTATCATGAAAAATGTAATAAGGACAATGATTAACCAGAGAATTAGTGCTATTGCAAAATTTCTATATCTCAATCATTTATTTTAACTTATTTATTTTTCAAATATGAAGTAACATTTTAATATAAATAAATTGCTACAATAGAACTAAGAACTACTATTATCATTTCCTACAAATCTGTGCAAAGACTATTATCTTGTCTGTCTCACACTAATGAACAATGGAGAGAGACTTTTTTCTGTCACAAAAAACTTGCTTGACTTTGCACAAAGCGTTCACGCTTGCAATCAAGCAAGGACACATGTGATTACAAAATTACATGAGAACTGGTTGTAAACGTGTGGAGTACGGTAGGCCCCCATAAAGCATATCTAAGGTCCATGTCCATTACCAACACATAGATCATTAGATTATGAACATAGATCATGTATTGCATTGTACCACTGGAAAATGATGCACATAAAAAAATGTAAGCATTACCCATTCCTCATTTTAGGACTGGTTTTGTTTGAGCATATCCTTAAATAAGTAATCTAAAGTCAACTGGAAAATTCCTACAGTATAGTCAATTCTAGACAGTTTCTACCACTGAAAACTGAAACGCTGCTTGTTTTTAAGCAGCGTTGGCCTCTTGTGATTTCAACCAAAATGAAGAACCGTTCTGCAACTTCCAACAAGACCCTGCAGATAATGGTGACTGGACGCATCACAGTGGACCCACCCCAACCCCAGGCACTGGACCTGATGGAGACTATCCGGATGGAAGTGAGTATGAACAGCAAAACCAACAAAAACACTCCAGTGATCAGTTACTGCACTGAAGATGCAAAATCACTTGGAAATAATGTTCAAAACTGAATATTACTGAACTTACCGCAACCACAAATGCTTACAGAATTACAATACACTGACTGATGGGACATGCACTATAAAATGTTTTGTCAAGCAACCTATAAATCGCTAAAGAACCTATTGTTTTTTACTGTTTCTTGCTCTCATTTAATTAAACCCTTTTCCCCCATAGCTGGCTATTACATATATCATGAGGCTGACAACTCCGTAAATGGACAGAAAATACGTCTTCTCAGCCCAGTTATTGCTAGCGGACCTTCTGAGATCTGTGTACAATTCTACTACTACATGTACGGCTCTGACAGCAGTAACACCCTGACTGTGTTTGCCAAACGTCCCGGCTCTGAGGAACAAATGTGGCAAAAAACTGGGATACAGAGCCCTTCATGGCTTGGAGCCTCTGTCACTGTGCCCATACCAGCTGGACAGACTGCTCAGGTAATTGGGTCTGCTTAAAAACAGATTGTGATGAGTACTAATGCAATTGTTTTTATAATGCTATAGATGCATGTCATTTGTTCTTCTATAGTTCTAGCATGCATTTTTAAATGAAATACATATCAGTGTGGTCACTGTGTTTAAGGCTAAAGGCTATGCATTATAGTGTGTCTAATCTATGTAGGCCTTTTCTTTAGCATCAGTTATAAAAAAGTCAATGTTACCAAGACAAAGAACACTTCTGAAGCTCATGATGACAGAATGAACTTTGTGACTCTTATACAGTGTGAAAGAAAATCCCCTTTCAGTAAGTTTTAATGTCATTTTCTCTTCTAGATTATGTTTCAAGCAATGCGTGGGCTCTCCTCATCATGTGACACTGCCCTGGATAACATTGTCATCACTGAGGGAGCCTGTGCTGGTACTTTATTTTACCCTTATTGCATGTTACAAATATAAACATTTAATATTAAAATAATGATTTTATAAACAATATTTTGTTTGTTTTTATACAGGCTGTATAGCTGGGTGTGATTTTGATGATGATGAATGCGGCTGGACGAATGTGGTACCTAATGATGACATTTTTGGTTGGGAGTTATGGACTGGACAGACAGATACACCAGGCACTGGCCCTGATGATGACTTCTCCAAACCAGGATGTGAGTCCAATATTCCTGTCATATCAATGATTATTTTTAAGGACAGCTTTCAGTCCTCTTTGCATTCTCTATTTTCTCAAACTGTTTCTTTCCAATGCAGTGGGTTCATACCAGTTAATGGACTCCAGCTTTAGCATTGAAGGAGAATCCGCTCAGCTCTGGAGCCCCTCTACCTCAGCCTCTGGTTGCCTACAGCTGGACTTCCATTACTACATGTATGGCAGTGCCACCAACATGGAGCTAAATGTCCATGCAGTCACCACCGGTAAGAGTCACAAGCTGTTCGAAAGGGTGAAGATTAAGAGTTTATTAAAACATCTGTAGGTTTAAAGGAAAATTATGAAATTACAATTACAATTATAATATGACAATCATATTCACATATACACGCAACGAAACCTAGATGATCAATGATTTTCAAAAATTTTATTATGCAAATTAATTAGAGAGATTTTGGTGAAAATTAGTTTTATGATTTTTTTTTATTTTTTAGGAGGAGCACTTGGAGCCCCTATTTTCAGCCTCAAAGGAAATCAAGGTCAGGGCTGGAAGCCTGCAAGCGTTCACTACATTGGTTTAGATGATTCAGTGGAGGTCAGTTTTATTCTCTCAGTTAAAAATTTGTGAATGAGCTTTTTAAATTTTTGACAATGATCTGGCCCATTTGAGCGATAAAGCAATTTGTATGAATCATAAATGTTGCTAAATGTTCACATTTTATACTTTTTTTATTTCAGTTTGTAATTGTAGGTGTTTATGGTGAAACAGACAAGACAGATATTGCAATTGATAGTGTCTGCATTACTGCTTGTACAGGTAGGTGGCAGACAATGTCATTAATGCTATTGTAAGTTTAAAAGTACCAGTTGTCATAGAATACATATTTTATGAATGATGCACCAGTCTATTAATTGTTTTCTTGCTTGATTTTAGCAACTCCAACACCTAAGCCATCCCCACCCCAACCCACTACACCTAAACCATCAACACCACAACCCACTTCACCTAAACCAACGACACCAGGTCCATCATCTCCTAATCCATCTACACCCCAACCCACTTCACCTAAACCAACGACACAAGGTCCATCATCACCTAATCCATCTACACCCCAACCCACTTCACCTAAACCAACGACACCAGGTCCATCATCCCCTAACCCATCTACACCCCAACCCACTTCACCTAAACCAACGACACCAGGTCCATCATCTCCTAATCCATCTACACCCCAACCCACTTCACCTAAACCAACAACACCAGGTCCATCAACTCCTAAACCAACAACACCTAAGCCAACTACTCCAGGACCAACACCACCAGGTAAGCTAAACTTGTTCTATTTTGATTAGAAACATTTATCAAAACATTATAACATTTGTTTAGATAAACAAACCCTTCATGTCTTGCAACAGTGAACTGCCCTCCAGACTCTGAGTACATTGATTGCGGCCCAGCATGTATTCCTACCTGCACAGAACCCTCCACCAACTGCTCTGGTTCTTGCATCAGCGGCTGCTTCTGTAAACCAGGATTTGTTTTCCGTGGCCGACGCTGTGTTCCTATTGAGCAGTGTGGATGTCTGGATGAAGAAAACAATTATTTTGAGGTACAAGAGTTGTCATTGTGGGGCTGCATTTTTATCCAGCTTTGGGACTTAAGGTTTTGCTCTAAAAAATGTTGGCCTGTATTTACACTCAGCCTGGTGAGATCATATTTGGAGATGGCTGTTCCAAGTTGTGTCGCTGTGCTGGCAACTACACTTTCGACTGTGTGGATAACACCTGTGACCCTGTGACAGAAGAATGTCGGGAGTTTGGTGGAGTGCACGGCTGCTACCCTAAAGGTATTACAGAAAACCACAGCAACCCCTAATCCACAACTACCGTAACTGACAAGTGATCAAACAACACACTAGTTTGCTTCTGTGATAGCTCATGTTTCAAAGCCCACAAGCTTTCAAACACACTTTTGGCTTGGTATTTATTAACTTGCAAACCTGTAACTCTTGATACAACAAGTATTTATGATCAAGCTTGTCTTTGACACCAAGGGATTTTTCATTCACAGGAACCTCCACCTGTATTGCCTCTGGAGACCCCCATTATAATTCGCTGCTTGCCATCCAAAAGTCAACCCCAATGTGAGTTAAATCGAATAAGTTAATTTGAAATGCTTTAGTGCATAATTTAACAATACAACATACTTACAGATCTTAACCTTGTATGTAGGGTTTCTTCCAAGACTGTCTGTTTGACGTTTGTGAGCTGGATGGTGCTCATTCTGCTTTGTGTGAAGCAATAGAGTCATACGTCAATGAATGTCAGGACCGTGGAGTTACAATTGGACTCTGGAGAAACAGCACCTTCTGTCGTATGTCTGAAAAATACATATTCATTATACATAAACTCGGACAAAAAAAACAAAAACAAGACTTGAATGGCTTGTCCTATTTCTCTTACTGGCAAATAGAGTGAATTCGCAACATTACGATTAGCACTAACATAAGTTCTCCCTCTTCAGCTCTGAAATGCCCACCCAACAGTCACTTTGAATCATGCGCACCAGTTTGCCAGCCTTCCTGCCGTCCATTTCCACCAAGTCAGTGCATCGGGCCTTGTTCTGAAGGATGTGTTTGTGACCCTGGATATATCCTCAGTGCTGGCCAGTGCGTGAAAGAAGAAACATGTGGTTGCAGCTATAATGGAAATTATTATAAGGTGAGGAAATTGAATTTGGTATTATTTAGGACAGAAATGGTTTGTTATAGTCAATCAGCTAGTATTTTTCATGACTTTTCCTCTCTCCATGGATTTAGCCAGGTGAAGAGTTCTACACTAAGGACTGTGAAGTACTGTGTAAGTGCGACCCCCCATTTGTTTCCTGTAAAGCTGCCGACTGCCCACCAATGGAACAATGTGGAGTACAGGGTGGTGTAATTGGGTGTTATCCACAAGGTGAGTAAGTGTGTTTCCATCATTTCAGTCTTTGATTTCAGTCAGAATAAAGTAATAATGCCTTTTAAATTGTAAACAATTTAGTCTGGAATCATTTTTGCATAATTTTGCAACCTTTTTTAAATAAATCATACAGGTGATTGTTGCTTGGCTTCATCTAGCATATAATTCTGATTACAACTGAACACAGTGCCGTGTATGCTCTGAAATATGTGACACGCAATGTGTATTTAATTAAAATATTCAATTATGCAATGGGTGATGTATCATTAAATAAAGAGATACAGACTGTCGCTTGACTATGCATGTAAACTGTGCATATAAACATATTTGCTTTATATAATAGTATATTGGGGTCCTAAGAGGTTGCATTATTTACAAATAATATACTATATACAATACTAAATATACAATATTTGTAACATTCATTGTTAAAATGCACATTCTTGAACATTTAACAGATTGTTGATGAATTGAAATAAAGAGCACTTTTCTCAATCCCCCAGAATCTCAAGACTGTATTATCTCTGGTGATCCTCATTATAACACCTTTGATGGCAAATACTACAGCTACATGGGCACTTGCACCTACACTCTGGCCCGCACCTGCCAAAACAACACTGGTAAGCAATGGCCAAGACAAGGTACAAAGATCCACAACTACAGTGGCAATTAGTTTACTATTGATTTGAACTTCAGAAAATATCCCTGAAAATAACTTTGTACGTTTTAAGAGTTTAAAGGATTATAAAGCTTTATAATGACAAAACCTTTCTCTCTCCTGCAGGCCCCTGGTTCTCCATAGAGGGTAAGAATGAAGAGAGAGGAGTTTCTGGTGTTTCTTACCTGAGGAAACTATACGTGACTGTTGATGGCATCACTGTGACACTGATGAAAAACAAGAGAACTCTGGTCAGTATCCACAACTGCTGCCTTCATTAAACCATCAATGAAGTTATTCTGTAATCTTGAGATCTAGAATTGAGGTTTTAAGTAAATGGCTACAATATATTTTAGTCTCTCTGGGGTTTAATCCTAGAGATTAAGTAAATGGGCATAATAGGTTTTATCAAATATCTTCTTTCAGTTGTTCCTAATCTGTTCCTAGTCAGATTATCCCTCTGTCCATTTTTCCAATAATAATCTTGACAATACAGCAAAAGAAATTAAAACAGTTCTTCTTGTCAAATTTAACATTAGTCTTCAATCCAACTCTGCTTTTATCTCTTTTCCACACTCAGGTGAATGGACTCAGGGTGTCTCTTCCTCACTCCCCCTCTCCGCTCATTTCGCTGTCTCTTGCTGGCCAATATGTTATCCTCACAACTCCATTCGGCCTGGAGGTGCAGTGGGACGGCAACCATTACGCCAAGATCTCGGTTCCTAGGTACTGAAACTCTGAAAACAGACTGATTGAAATATATGCATCATTCTGACCTGAAGCATTTGACAAGAAACACTAAGACCTACAATCATTTTTGAAGGTTGTAGGTCTTGAGTAAATCCTGCAAAAGGAAAATGAAAACCCTTTTCTGGGAAAATAAATATCTTTACATTAATCTCTTTTTGTTCCTCTCTCACTTATTTTATCAGTTCCTACTATGACCAGATGTGCGGCCTGTGCGGGGACTATGATGGAAACCCCAATAATGATTTCACTAAGCCGGATGGCTCCCAAACGGACAGCTCAAGTCAGTTTGGTGACAGCTGGCAAACTGATGAGGATGAGGATGCAACGTCAGTAACTTTCAATCTTCTTCTTAATCAGGCAGTTTCAGGATTAGGACAACTTCCTATGCTCAGTGATGCCTGTGTTGATCAGTGCAGATCTGTGACTTGTTTTTAGGTGCAAGCCGGACCCCGGGCCTCAACCACCCTGCGATCCTGAGCTGGAGGGTGTCGTGTCAAACCCAGAGAACTGTGGAAGAATAACTGACACAAACGGAGCATTTAGGTTAGGACTTAACAAACTATGGCATTTTCTGCTAATAAACAATCTTGAATCCTTCCATTTGAAATGAATCATAATAAATATGCATGCTCTGTTATTCATACTGATTCTAACCCGATTCTAACCTGAGACAATGAAGAACTTCTAGTGATTAATCACTGCACACTTTCTCTCGCATTTGCTCCTCACAGGGACTGCATAAATGTGGTGGACCCCTTGCCTTTCTTCCAGAGTTGTGTGTTTGATATGTGCCGTTATCAGGGACTGCAGCAGGTCCTTTGTGACCAGCTTCAGGCTTACACTGATGCTTGCCTGAGTGCAGGTGCACCTGTCCATCAGTGGAGGGAGCCAGACTTCTGCCGTGAGTCATTCTCTCACATATTCTATCATATTGCACAAGTGTAGGATTTGAGAAATGGTTTGAGCATATAATAAAGCAGAAAAATATGGCATCTTACATCCATGAATCCAAGAATCACATTTCACATTCCCAGTGGCAAGCCTGTTTTCAGCTCCCTCTAATGCACAATATAAATTATTGAAGTGAATGAAGAGGTTAGAATAGCAAAGCTACGCTTGTGTTATCTGTAGCCTTATTATATTTTTATTATTTATGGGGCTTTTATGAGTTTAATGGCCAGGGACGTGAAGACACAAATTACGTCACAGAGAGACAGGGACATGGGAAACTATATAGTCCAAACTGCATTCCCACATTAACCTTCACCATCATTTAATGCTGTTTTTCCATTTTTCTTCAGCTCTGGAATGCCCTCCAAACAGCCATTACTCCATATGTGTGAGCTCCTGTCCGGAGACATGTCTGGGTATCAATGGACCACCGGGCTGCAGTGAGAAGTGTGTTGAAGGCTGTGAGTGTGACTCTGGCTTTATCCTCAGTGACAACAAATGTGTTCCTCTTAAAGACTGTGGCTGTTTGGACTCCTCAGGCTCCTACCATCCAGTGAGTTTAACACCAGGGCCGAACCGTGGGGTTCTGGGGCCATAGACAAGATTATAAAAATGGGACCCACTGATGTAAAATTGTCAAAACATTGATTTAAACCACAGCAAATATGTCTATTGATATTTAGGTAAATGAGAGCTGGTATCTGGAGCGCTGTACACAGAAGTGTACATGTGAGGGTGGAGGAATTATTCACTGTTACAACACCAGCTGTCTTCCTACTGAGAGCTGCCAACTTCAAGATGGAGACTATGTCTGCACACCAAGTGGTAACAATTATAGTACTGGTTTATGCATGATACAATTTTGTACTTTGTACTTTTGTTTACAAATCTTATCATATCATATCATGAATATACACACATGCAGAGAAACACAAACCAGTTGGCAATCCTGACAGATCTACAACTAATCCTCTTTAAATATAAGAATTTTTCTTTCACTGGTGACCCTCATTACTTATTCGGATAATGTACATCACTTGGGTACTTGCTCCTACACTATCAAGAAGTTACAAAATATGTATAGGTACTGTAAACAACTCTTCTTGTCTTCAAACAGTGAATCCATCTACACCCCAACCCACTACACCTAGACAAACTACTCCAGAACCAACACCACCAGGTAAGCTAAACTTGTTGTATTTTGATTAGAAACATTTATCAAAACATTATAACATTTGTTTAGATAAACAAACCCTTCATGTCTTGCAACAGTGAACTGCCCTCCAGACTCTGAGTACATTGATTGCGGCCCAGCATGTATTCCTACCTGCACAGAACCCTCCACCAACTGCTCTGGTTCTTGCATCAGCGGCTGCTTCTGTAAACCAGGATTTGTTTTCCGTGGCCGACGCTGTGTTCCTATTGAGCAGTGTGGATGTCTGGATGAAGAAAACAATTACTTTGAGGTACAAGAGTTGTCATTGTGAGGCTGCATTTTTATCCAGCTTTGGGACCTAAGGTTTTGCTCTAAAAAAATTTGGCCTGTATTTACACTCAGCCTGGTGAGATCATATTTGGAGATGGCTGTTCCAAGTTGTGTCGCTGTGCTGGCAACTACACTTTCGACTGTGTGGATAACACCTGTGACCCTGTGACAGAAGAATGTCGGGAGTTTGGTGGAGTGCACGGCTGCTACCCTAAAGGTATTACAGAAAACCACAGCAATCTATCCTTAACCTACTATTATTTTAATGACAAGCTATCAATTTACAGGTTATTGATGAATACCCTCAAACAACATGCTAACTTCCAAACATGAAGCTATTTTATACAATATTCAACTTTAAGCATTTTTGTTAGAATTTTTATATTTGACACCAAGGGATTTTTCATTCACAGGAACCTCCACCTGTATTTATATTGGACAGCAATGGCCCATTCGCTGCTTGCCATCCAAAAGTCAACCCCAATGTGAGTGAAATCGAATAAGTTAATTTGAAATGCTTTAGTGCATAATTTAACAATACAACATACTTACAGATCTTAACCTTGTATGTAGGGTTTCTTCCAAGACTGTCTGTTTGACGTTTGTGAGCTGGATGGTGCTCATTCTGCTTTGTGTGAAGCAATAGAGTCATACGTCAATGAATGTCAGGACCGTGGAGTTACAATTGGACTCTGGAGAAACAGCACCTTCTGTCGTATGTCTGAAAAATACATATTCATTATACATAAACTCGGACAAAAAAAACAAAAACAAGACTTGAATGGCTTGTCCTATTTCTCTTACTGGCAAATAGAGTGAATTCGCAACATTACGATTAGCACTAACATAAGTTCTCCCTCTTCAGCTCTGAAATGCCCACCCAACAGTCACTTTGAATCATGCGCACCAGTTTGCCAGCCTTCCTGCCGTCCATTTCCACCAAGTCAGTGCATCGGGCCTTGTTCTGAAGGATGTGTTTGTGACCCTGGATATATCCTCAGTGCTGGCCAGTGCGTGAAAGAAGAAACATGTGGTTGCAGCTATAATGGAAATTATTATAAGGTGAGGAAATTGAATTTGGTATTATTTAGGACAGAAATGGTTTGTTATAGTCAATCAGCTAGTATTTTTCATGACTTTTCCTCTCTCCATGGATTTAGCCAGGTGAAGAGTTCTACACTAAGGACTGTGAAGTACTGTGTAAGTGCGACCCCCCATTTGTTTCCTGTAAAGCTGCCGACTGCCCACCAATGGAACAATGTGGAGTACAGGGTGGTGTAATTGGGTGTTATCCACAAGGTGAGCACTCTGGTTAATTCAGTATGTGTGTTTCCATTCAATTTTCAAACATCCATCCATCCAGTTTCAGTCAGGCTAAAGCAATAATGTCTTTTTAAAATAAATGTATGACTTAAAATCATACAACTCCAGTTTTTGCAATGTTGAACAAACAGATTTCGATGTAATTATAGCTCGCTTTATCTAGCATATATATGCATTAACAAGACAACAATTGGGCTTGGCTTTGTGCAATGGCTCTAAAATGACAGATGTGATATGTAATTCACTCTTCTAATATTAGATTAAACATTCCATCATGTACTGTATATTTGGCTAGAGAGATGGAGACTGTAGCTTGACTATGCATGTTTACAATTCACTATTTACAAATAGTGTGCAACAGTAAACTATTGAACTTTACACATTCTTTAGAGCTTCAAAAATTGTTGATCAATCTCTTTCCTCAATCTCCCAGAATCTCAAGACTGTATTATCTCTGGTGATCCTCATTATAACACTTTCGATAGCAAATACTACAGCTACATGGGCACTTGCACCTACACTCTGGCCCGCACCTGCCAAAACAACACTGGTAAGCAATGGCCAAAGCCAACTATCCACAATCAGCAGTTACTAGAGTGCTTTGGTCATCACTAGGTGTTTGGAGTAGCAAACTATTGTATTATTACTATTCATTAAATGTACATTAAATGTCCCCAAAATTAACTTTTAAGGTTAGCTCAAATAAGAATATGAATGTACAGCTTTCAAAATAACTTCACTTTCTTCCCTCCTGGGTCTGCAGGGCCCTGGTTCTCCATAGAGGGTAAGAATGAAGAGAGAGGAGTTTCTGGTGTTTCTTACCTGAGGAAACTATACGTGACTGTTGATGGCATCACTGTGACACTGATGAAAAACAAGAGAACTCTAGTCAGTATCCACAACGGCTGCCTTCGTTATTCTGTCATCTTGAGATCTAGAATTGAGATTTTAAGTAAATGGCCACAGTACTGTGTATACACAATAGTTCTGAGACATTCCTCTTATCTTAAATATTTTTTTCTAAATGGTTCCTAATCTGTAACATTATCCCTATGTCCATTTTTCTGTTTTCCAAGAATAATCTTGCCTTTCAAAGTTTGTTTTTTCAAAGCTAGCATTAACCTTCAATCCACCTTTTCCACACACTCAGGTGAATGGACTCAGGGTGTCTCTTCCTCACTCCCCCTCTCCGCTCATTTCACTGTCTCTTGCTGGACAATATGTTATCCTCACAACTCCGTTTGGCCTGGAGGTGCAGTGGGACGGCAACCATTACGCCAAGATCTCAGTTCCTAGGTAAAGAAAATGTGAAAAAAGCCTTACTGGAATATATACACTGTACTGGCAGTATTTTACAGAAAACACTAAGACCCACAATGATTGTTAAAGATTATAGGTTATGACTAAATTCAAAAAGAAAAATCAAAAAGCATCTCTGGGAAAATGTATATCTTTACATTAATCTCTTTATTTTTTTCCCTCATTTTATCAGTTCCTACTATGACCAGATGTGCGGCCTGTGCGGGGACTACGATGGAAACCCCAATAATGATTTCACTAAGCCGGATGGCTCCCAAACGGACAGCTCAAGTCAGTTTGGTGACAGCTGGCAAACTGATGAGGATGAGGATGCAACGTCAGTAACTTTTACTTTTCTTAATTTTATCAACCACACAACACGCAGGGCAATGTTTTTAAGATTGTTCTTAGGATTTTAAGGTTGACTTCAAATTCTTAGGCATGTCTTGATGATGACGATGTCATGTTTTCAGGTGCAAGCCGGACCCCGGGCCTCAACCACCCTGCGATCCTGAGCTGGAGGGTGTCGTGTCAAACCCAGAGAACTGTGGAAGAATAACTGACACAAACGGAGCATTTAGGTTAGGACTTAACAAACTATGGCATTTTCTGCCAAAAAAAAACAATGTTGAATCCTTCTAGTTAAAATTAATCATAGGGATTTATAACAAATATGCGTGTTTTATTATTCATATTGTTTCTAACACGAGAGAGACTTTTGAAAAACTTTAAGTGCTTAATCATTGCACACTTTCTCTCGCATTTGCTCCTCACAGGGACTGCATAAATGTGGTGGACCCCTTGCCTTTCTTCCAGAGTTGTGTGTTTGATATGTGCCGTTATCAGGGACTGCAGCAGGTCCTTTGTGACCAGCTTCAGGCTTACACTGATGCTTGCCTGAGTGCAGGTGCACCTGTCCATCAGTGGAGGGAGCCAGACTTCTGCCGTGAGTCATTCTCTCACATATTCTATCATATTGCACAAGTGTAGGATTTGAGAAATGGTTTGAGCATATAATAAAGCAGCAAAATTTGGCATCTTACATCCATGAATCCAAGAATCACATTTCACATTCCCAGTGGCAAGCCTCTAATGCACAATATAAATTATAGAAGTGAATGCAGTTCAGAAGGTTAGAATAGAAAAAGCTAGAGATGAACACTTACTTTAACTTTTGCCTTATTGTTTTTATTATTCATGGGGCTTGCTTTTATGCCTTTAATGGCCAAGACAGAGAAGACAGGAATGCCATCACAGAGGGATGGTACATGTGACTGGGAAACTACATACTGTATCCCCACTCTAACCATATTTTCATAACTTAATGCTGTTTTTCCATTTTTCTTCAGCTCTGGAATGCCCTCTAAACAGCCATTACTCCATATGTGTGAGCTCCTGTCCGGAGACATGTCTGGGTATCAATGGACCACCGGGCTGCAGTGAGAAGTGTGTTGAAGGCTGTGAGTGTGACTCTGGCTTTATCCTCAGTGACAAAAAATGTGTCCCTGTTAAAGACTGCGGCTGTGTGGACTCCTCAGGCTCCTACCATCCAGTGAGTTTAACACCAGGGCCGAACCGTGGGGTTCTGGGGCCATAGACAATGATGGGACCCCCGTAGTAAAACCTGGAGTTTGGATTAAAAATATTTAAAGAACCACTGCAAACACAATGAGTAAACTAAAAACACCCATTTCTGTTCATGATGTTAATCACCATTTTAGCTCTTGTAGTTCACCTAAATAGCCGTTTGACAAATAAAATGATTAAAGGTAGAAGGAAACTGAGCATAGCTCATACCTTTTCACATTAGGACTTCTTTAGGCCTGTTGTCTAAGTTAGTCATTACAATGACAAGCACGATGTCTGACATCCAAAAGTGCCTTAAACACTAAACAGCAAAAACATCAACTCAAATAGCCAAACAACAAGCTCTTCCTGACTTACTTTTTGTGTTTCTGTCAAACCTGAGCACATTTGACCAAAATGGAGGTAAAGTTCCAGCAATGCACCGCGGCGTGAATAAATTACGCAAATAAATTGAATTCTTTAATATTTATTGTTTTACAGTTTGCTACTTTATTTGTGCTGCTGTTGTTGTGTTTATCACTTTCAGATAGTTTGTCGCTTTCAGTTATTTGTCATGTAGTTATTATTCAAAGCGCAGATTTTAAGATTCTTAAGAATGAGATTTTTTTATGCTTGATTCTCGTTAATGCCTGTCTGACTTGAAATCATATTCGGTGAGCATGAATTGCATTCACTCACTCATTCATTCATTTGCTATAACAATAAATAAAATAGATGGTTATATCGGACAAATTATTATAAAGAATAATAAAACATTCATCGACTCTATATTTTCTAATGATTCGGTTGAGTTAAATGTTTTATTAGTCCAACACAACATGACACTTGTCGCCACCTACTGGACGAAGGAGTCACTGTATGAATCAATGCATGAATCTTTGGGTAAACGTATTTAAATGAGTCGAGTTACTGTGATAACTCAACCCTCATCGTAGCGTCTGTATCACCTATACGATTGCTTAAAACAGTGCAGAATTTTAACAAAGTGTTAATGTTTAAAAATAGGACAAATGTGCTTGACTTGTGGATTTCTAATACGTTAATATCAATGTGGCCATATATAGGTAAATGAGAGCTGGTATCTGGAGGGCTGTACACAGAAGTGTACATGTGAGGGTGGAGGAAATATTCACTGTTACAACACCAGCTGTCTTCCTACTGAGAGCTGCCAACTTCAAGATGGAGACTATGGCTGCAAACCACTTGGTAGCAAATATAATACTAGTTTACACATAGTTTAGTTTTTAGTGTCTTATCATATACAAACATGCAGTTCTGCACAAACCTGTTGACACATGGAACTAAAAGTTTATCTCCATTTTTATCGCTTTCTCTTTTAGGTACAGGCATTTGCTCAGTTTCTGGTGACCCTCATTATAACACCTTTGATGATAAAGTACATCACTTCATGGGTGCCTGTTCCTACACTCTCTCTAAGCCCTGTAATGAGACCTCAGGCTTGCCATACTTTTCTGTGGAGACACAGAACGAGCACAGAGACAATAATAAGAAAGTGTCTTATGTAAGATCTGTCATCATCAATGTGCATGACACAACCATCATTTTGGGCAAGGGGCGCAAAGTTCAGGTAAGGGACATTTCCAAGGTTTGTGAGACTTAAGGAACAGATTACAGGACATTAGAACAGCAGTCCATTCTTGTGCTTACCTTATTTGTACATCCTGCAGGTGAATGGAGTTCAGGTCACTGTGCCTGTCACACTGTCAAATGGTGTTAAGATCTTCCTAAGTGGCAAATTTGTGGTGCTCGAGACAGACTTCGGATTGCGTGTCCGTTTTGATGGAAACCATCATGCAGATGTCACCTTGCCTTCGTCCTACAGTGGACTGTTATGTGGACTCTGTGGTAAGCACAGCAAATTCAGATATCTAACTAACTGATGGAGATTCAAAAGCTACTTTATACTGCTACTAACCAACTAATCGTTTTACATGAGTCATTTTAATAATAATATATTACAGGAAATTATAATGGTAATCCTAATGATGACAACATCAAGTCAGATGGAACGCCAACAGACAGCACCAATGAGCTCGGAGAAAGCTGGCAGGTTCCTGACGACAGACCAGAGTAAGTGAAAGCATATTTAATTGTCCACTGCACCAATGATAGTTAGATTTCATTAATTTTGTTTCTAAATATACACTTTTTATCATTGAAGCTTTAATCATTCATGCCTGTTCTTATCTTGCACAGTTGTACTCATGGTGGAGGAGACATTGAATGTGATGACAAGATCGAGAGTGAAGCACAGAAACCTACTAGCTGTGGCATGATCACCGACCCCATTGGTGAGACACTCATACAAACATACATTTTAAAATGTTTTAATGATAAGGTCACTGGATTAAAAAAACATAAAAAGCTTTATCACAATTAGAAATGTATGTGATATTATTTTATAGCTGTTTTTTATTTTATTTGCTTTATTTTATTTATTTATTTTTAAAATAATTTCAAATCAGCATATGCTAGAGTTTAATAATTAAACATTCATTTCTTAATCACCTATAATTACTCTTATAGGTTCCCTTCACACTCACAATGGATTGTTTGTTCTGCTTATTGTCTTTTGCTAATATCAGAGTCAGCATTTGCAAATGTTATTTCACCTTCTTAATGCATTAATTAGAATAAATCATGTTTATGTTAGAATGCACAAATTTATTTGTCTGCTTTGGGCGGTTTGACTAAAATCATTGTAATACATTTTGGATTGAACGTTACCTATGACTTGAAGAGTAAAAGGTAAATGTACAAGAAGCCTCATTTTACTCTATTTATGACTATATTCCAGCACATCTTTTCAGTGCACCGAGCTCCTCTGTTTTATAGAGACACAACACCTGTTTTATGCACTATTAAATCCTACTTACCATTCTTTTCCCAGGAATCTTCAAGCCATGTCATGAAGTGGTGCCTCCCAATCCTTACTTTGAGAACTGTGTGTTTGATCAGTGTGGCACTGGTGGTGCCACAGTGGCACTGTGCCAAGCTATTCAAAGCTATGCTGACCTGTGCGCTCAAGCTGGGGTGAAATATTGTCTTTTGCTAATATCAGAGTCAGCATTTGCAAATGTTATTTCACCTTCTTAATGCATTAATTAGAATAAATCATGTTTATGTTAGAATGCACAAATTTATTTGTCTGCTTTGGGCGGTTTGACTAAAATCATTGTAATATATTTTGGATTGAATGTTACCTATGACTTGAACATGACTTGAAGAGTAAAAGGTAAATGTACAAGAAGCCTCATTTTACTCTATTTATGACTATATTCCAGCACATCTTTTCAGTGCACCGAGCTCCTCTGTTTTATAGAGACACAACACCTGTTTTATGCACTATTAAATCCTACTTACCATTCTTTTCCCAGGAATCTTCAAGCCATGTCATGAAGTGGTGCCTCCCAATCCTTACTTTGAGAACTGTGTGTTTGATCAGTGTGGCACTGGTGGTGCCACAGTGGCACTGTGCCAAGCTATTCAAAGCTATGCTGACCTGTGCGCTCAAGCTGGGGTGCCAATTAACTGGAGGAATAACACCTTCTGCCGTAAGTTTTTGAGCCCTACAGACATTCTGTAAAGCGCCCTTAAAACCTGCAATTAACTGAATCCTGGTAACCTTTTTAAGACTCTGCCTTTGCAGTGTGCACCCTTCAATTAGGGAGTGATTAACAAGTGCCGAGTGTCTCTTTAGTTCCTAAATTGGCTGTGCTAAAACAGTTGTATTTTTATGTTTCTCCATCTCTGCCCATCGTCCCCGTTTCTCTCTTTTCTAACTATTTTCATTCATTTGTTCTCTTCTGCCCCATTGCATTGGTTCGGTTAACACCACTCTTTTATTTTTCTATTACTTCCAGCTATTAAATGTACGGTTGGTAGTCACTATGAGCCGTGTGGTTCAGCCTGTCCAGCCAGTTGTCAGGACCCTGGATCTGAAGGCACCTGCTTTGAGCCCTGTGTTGAGGGATGTGTGTGTGACCCTGGTTTTGTCCTCAGTGGGGACAAGTGTGTGCCCTTCAGCGAGTGTGGTTGCACTGACAAAGACAACAACTATAGGCCTGTGAGTGCTTGAGAAGACTCAATGAAACTTACTTCTGTTTTCAAATTTTAAATAATTTCTTACAAATTGAACAAATTTCAGTTCACATTTTTGTGAATAAAGGTGTAGTTTAATTATGCATGTTTTCATTTCTAGTTTAGGATTGTCCCTTTGTCCATTTCAATTATTAATGCATATCTGTTTGATTTTTTAGGTTGGAGACAGCTGGTTCACGAAGGATGATTGCACAGAGCGCTGTGTTTGTTCACCTTTCAATACAGTGACATGCGAGGCATGGCAATGTGGTCCCGCTCAGGAATGTAAGGTCAATGATGGTGAACTAGGCTGTGTGAACACAGGTACATACTCTACATAATCTTTTTATCTCTTTTTATGTGTCTGTCTATCTTTGTCTGTGTCTTTCTATCTGTCTCTCTGTCTATCTATCTGTTTGACACATGCTTATTGACCTTCTTTGCAGGAGTGGGCATTTGTCACATTGCTGGTGATCCTCACTACTACACTTTTGATGGCATCATGCACACCTACATGGGTACCTGCACTTACACGTTGGTGGCGATATGCGACACCTCTATGGTGACACCCTTCACCATTGTGGCCAAAAACGAAGAGCGCGGCCAACCAGAAGCTTCGTATGTTCGCTCTGTGACCGTCTACCTGCCCACTGCCAACATCACCATCAGCAAGAATGGAAGAGTACTGGTGAGAACCTGAGAACGAAGAAGGAAGAGATGCAATAGTGATTTTGACTAGGCTGAATTTGCATGCCTTCTTCTGATTAGACATCATGAATAGGGATATAACAGTGAAATATTGTTTAAAATCATAGATAAGATTCTATGTATCCAGTGATATGATTGTGCTAAATCTCTGGCTTGTACTCATATTTGTTCTGTCCACCTACTAGGTGAATGAACGCAGGATAAAGACCCCCTATGACATCAGTTCAGCCAAGGCGCGGGTGTTCACCAGTGGAGTAAACACCGTACTGGACACTGACTTCGGCCTGATTGTGAAGTTTGATGGAGTGCACCATATTGAAATCACAGTACCTGGAGACTATTTCAACAAGGTTTGAAACCATATGCAAAAATAAAGCTAGAACATCATCCTACCTGATAGGAGTGGGCGATATACCGGTAGACACGATTAACCGGTAGAAATTTGTCAACATGCAGAGATTTTGGATTATCATCTCTATAGCGGTTACACGCTCACGTGACGTTTCTGTTATACATGGTCATGAAAACTTATCGTTTACGCATGTTTTTAAGAATTGTGTTTAAAAAACAAGTGATTTTAAGCCGTTGGAAACTCAATAAGCAGATAAAGAGAGTTCATTTCACTATATGTGTGCGCTGTCTTAGCACTGTCAGAGAGGGACGTGCACGTAAAGACGGTGCTCATAGAGTGCAGGAGCATTGTAGTGAGTTATTTTTGCCGCTTTATAGGCCTTGAACAGGTAAATACACACTTTTATGTGTCAAAATGCCCATCTTTGCAATTATACTTGTAAACCTCGTAATTTAGGTCTTTAGTCTAATATTCCTGCTGTCTGTCATTCATGTTAATCAAACAACAAAAGAGAGAAAATCTCTCACTACTCTTGACTAAATCATTTTTGTAACTTTAATAATAAGAAATATATATTTAGTTTACACAGTGGAGAATATGCAGTGTTTTTTTACATTTCATTACCTTATACAGTGTATGTAGCATTTCTTATTTATTTGTTCCACTGTTTTTGTCCTTTTGCTTGTAAGTAGTTTCTTATTCTTATTTAATCACTGACTCTTTACTTGTCTTAAGTGAGCTTTTTTTCAATTTAGGCTAGCATTAGTTCTTTTGTGACATTGACTCTGGTGACAAGAATTATACAATTTCTATGGTGTCAAAAATGTTGATATCATAAAGACCTTATTTAAATCAAAAATAGCTATAATGTGATATATATTGTTACGGTGAGATAAAATTACTCATATCATGATATAAGATTTTGGTCATATCACCCACCCCTACTACCTGATATTTGTTGTAAATGCAGTCTTTAGATACTAATGTTTGATTAATAAACCAGACAGTTTCCTTTTTGGTCCAGATGTCTGAATTTCATTAAGAAAAATGAAAGAATTTCCACAAGCAGATTTTGATCAAATCTTCTTGACACATGTCACACTCACTGCTTTCCCGTAATTCAACTTTCGTCTTACAGGTATGTGGAATGTGTGGTAACTACAACGGAGATTCCTCTGATGACAACTTGATGCCTGATGGCAAACCAGCCAACAATGTCACTGAACTTGGTAACAGCTGGAAGGCAGAGGGAGACAGTGATCCTGGGTGAGTGTCACATTGTTTGGTCCCTCTCCATAATTCAGAAATAAACAAACATCAAAAGATAGCAGCATTATAGATGCACTTAGGATACATATGAATTTGAGTGAAAAATCAGTAGTTTCACTTGTCTTCATTCTTCTCTTGTGTTCATCCATGCCTCGTTTCTCCATCTGCAGGTGCAAACCTGATGAACGACCTGATGACAAACCCAACTGCGACAAGAAAGAGGAAGAAATCTATAAGTCACAGTGTGCGGCGTCTATCTTATCTGATCTCTTCAAGCCCTGTCACTCTCTCATTCCTCCAGAATCTTTCCTGGGGAACTGCATCTATGACATGTGCGAGTATGATGGCATGCAGTCGACTCAGTGCGATAACATTGAAGCTTATGCCCAGGCCTGTCATAGCGCTGGAGTCACGATCAGCTGGAGAAACAGCACCTTCTGTCGTAAGTGAAAGAGAAAGAGGGAAGAAAAGACTAGGAGATGTGCTGAGAATGTTATGCTGAGCTGGGTGACAGGAGGAAGAATAATTTGGCTAGAATTGTAAAGATCAAAAGAGCAGAACTGTGATGCTGAGAAAATGAAGCATTTATGAGATTCTTCATTGATAACCTCTAGGCTATGCATAAATATTAATGAATATCTATGCATATTTTGAAGGATGGAATGGCCTCTGAATATGTCAAAGAATCATTGTCATTCAAATCCGCTGCGTCAAACCTCTTTCCTTTGTGTACTTCTATTTCCAGCTCTCCCGTGCCCACCAAACAGTCATTATTCTGAGTGCACAGCACCATGTCCTCCTACTTGTGCCGATCTCTTCCCCGTATTCTGCCCATTACCACCTAATAGTTGTGTCGAAGGCTGCCAGTGCAATGGAGGTTTTGTGCTAAGTGATGGCAAGTGTGTTCCCCTCTCAAGCTGTGGATGTGTTGACAGCAATGGAGAGTATCATGATGTGAGTAAAGTTGCTAGAATTGCATACTGAATTTTACTACTGTTTAAATTTATTCTATTCAGCAAGGAACTATTAATTAATCAAAAGTGATAGTAAAACATTTATGGTGTTACGAAATATTTCTATTTCAAATAAATGCTGTTTATATTTTATATTCTGGAAGAATCCTGAAAAAAGGTATTAAGCAGCACAGCTGCTTTGATAATAATAATGAATGTCTCTTAAGCACATGATCTGTTCAGAAATCATTCTAATATACTGATATTAGAATGATTTCTGAACGGATCATGTGACACTGATGACTGGAGTAACTGCTGCTGAAAATTCAGCTTTGACATCACAATAATTAATTAAAATAGAAGTTATTGTAAATTGTCATAATATTTCAGAATTACAGATTTTACTTTTATGAAGTTTTTTTTTTAAAGAAATAAATTAATTCTATTCAGCAAGGAACTATTAATCAAAAGTGATAGTAAAACATTTATGGTGTTACGAAATATTTCTATTTCAAATAAATGCTGTTTATATTTTATATTCTGGAAGAATCCTGAAAAAAGGTATTAAGCAGCACAGCTGCTTTGATAATAATAATAAATGTCTCTTAAGCACATGATCTGTTCAGAAATCATTCTAATATACTGACACTGATGACTGGAGTAACTGGTGCTGAAAATTCAGCTTTGACATCACAATAATTAATTAAAATAGAAGTTATTGTAAATTGTCATAATATTTCAGAATTACAGATTTTACTTTTATGATCAAATAATTGCAGCGTTGTTGAACATAAGAGACTTCTTTCTAACATTTAAAAATCTTACCGACTCCAAACTTTTGAACGGTAGTCTATCTATTAAAGACTTGTTTTCTTCAACTCTATTCATCCGACTCTTCTATTCTTCAACTCATTATTGAAATAATTTTCTATATAAACAAATAATGGCAATAACATGACACATAAAGAATATGTTATAAAAAGGCGCTATAAAGATGGCAGTGCTTTCATTTTATGTCACAAAATTTGGTAACACTTTATTTTGATGGTCCCTTTTGAACATTCTGTTGACAATAAGTAATGTTGTACTCTCATCAGAATATTAGTAGACTATTTGCTTAATATCTGCTGCTGTCTAACTGTTTATTGTCATGGTCTCCCAACAGACATTCTACTGACTATAAGTAACTTTGCAAGTACATGTCAACTTATTCTAACCCTAACCCTACCAGTCTACTAATACTCTAATGAGAGTTAGTAGACCTGTAGGTGCAAAGTTACTTATAGTCAACAGAATGTGTTAAAGGGACCATCAAAATAAAGTTAAACCCAAAATTTTACAATACTGCCTGGTATATTTCAGGTGGGAGATTCATGGATAACTGACCACTGCGAACAGAGGTGCAGCTGCAGCCTTGGAGGAGTGCTGTCCTGCACGTCCTTTGAATGCAATGACAACTCGATCTGCGATCTTGACGGCAATGGAGACCGTTACTGCAAACCTGAGAGTGAGTTCAGGACAGTTTTGCAATGAGAAATACTAAGAATGAGGGAACAATGACATCAACTGACTTAATTCAGACCATCAGAGCAACCAAAAATTCATATTTACTATACATGAAAGACAAAAAGTTGGCAACTTTTTAAACATTTTCTCTTAGCAAACATTTTCTACTTTACCTCTAAGTTTTTGGGGTTTAATGACTGCAACTTGTGGGCATCTAAAGAAATGTAAATGTTTGAGCCTTGAAGCAGGTTAGTCCACCTCATTTTAGATGAACTAACTCAAACCTCTTTTACTTCTCATAGAATTTGATGACTGCAATATTGCTGGGGACCCTCACTATCGTACCTTTGACACATACAATCACCACTACCAGGGAGCGTATACCTATGTATTAACTCAGAGCACCACTCTGCCCAGCTCCCTCACCCCGTTCACAGTCCGCGGCAAAAACCAGCGGCAGGGAGGCATCAGCCGGGTGTCACTCCTGCGCGAGGTCTATGTGGACGTATACGGCATTACTGTTCGCATGCAGCAGAAGAAGAAAGTGCTGGTGAGGGATTCATGGGACATGTAGTCAATTCTAATAGTTGTATCTAACAGACGTCATATATGGACCATAATAACAACCACATAATATCATGAATGTCTTTGCGTGTTTTTCTCCATCAGGTCGATGGAGAGAAAGTTGGTCTACCGTTCAGTCCTGTACGTGGAGTTAACATAAAAACAAAGTCTCGCTATGTGATGCTCACAACTGACTTTGGCCTTTCTGTGCGCTTTGATGGCAATGCTCAAGCAGGTAGCTCAAAACTCACATCCACACAATTATCAAGGATTTTTTTATGCACAGCTTTGCATGTTTTGTAAAAGTATATAATGAAAACTCTCGCGCTCTTCTTTTTCCCTAAAGTGGTGACTCTACCAAGTGTATACAGATCCCGTGTGCTCGGTCTGTGTGGTAATTATGATGGAAACAACCGTAACGAGTACACAAAACCAGACGGCACAGTTACCCGCAACCTCAATGAGTTTGGAGACAGCTGGAGAGTGACTGACAGACAGGCGGGTCTTCGTACCACATCTCTACCAAAGATGGTGCACCTACACAAGTACGGAAGACTCAGAATATCTGTTATGCTATGCATTATTAATCAACTGGGATGCCATTTCTCATGAAATAAATAATCTGAAATAGTCTGGCATAGTCCTACCCCTAAAAAGCCTGTCTTCTTTACTATTAGGCGTGAAGTGGAGGCCGACCCAGATTCAGGGTTTGATACGACAGGCTGCACAGATGCTCTGCTGGAGGAGCTGAACGGGAATAAAATGTGTGGGGCTCTCAGCGACCCTGCTGGTCCTTTCACTCCCTGTCATGCTGTGATCGCTCCGGATGTCTTCCAGGAGTGAGTAATGTGTGTGAGGGTGTGTGCACTCTAGTGACAAGTATGAGTTCACTTTCATGAGTTAATGCATAGTAGGTGTGTGTTGCACTATGTACAAGAGCATGTGAATGCTTGTGTGTTTGAATGAGATAAACTTGTGATATGCGGGTGTTGGTACGGATGCACAGTCCTTCACAACCGTGTGTTTGCATTGCAGGGATTGTGTGTTTGATTTATGCGCTGAGCAGGGCAGTGAAGAGCTGCGCTGTGAAAATTACGCCGTCTACGCTCGGGCTTGCCAAGATCTGGGTGTCACACTAGGGCTGTGGAGACAAGAACTGAATTGCGGTATGAAAAATAAAATAGTTAATTTATGGAATGTGGTTCTGTATAGAATTCTGTAGCAATTTAAACATCAAATGTTTCATTTAAAAATTAAATAAAATAAAAACCTGGTTTAAAATCATGGCTTCCTCAAAAATATAAAGCGGCACAACATTGATAATAATAAGAAATGTTTTCTGAGCACAAAATCAGCATATTAGAATGATTACTGAAGGATCATGTGACACTAAACAACATAAATGTGTGTGTTTGTGATTTAGGTCTGCAGTGTGGGCCCAACAGCACTTACTCCCCCTGTATGACTCCATGCCCGGCATCCTGCGCAGACCTGGCGGCTCCCTCTGAGTGTGAGCAAACACAGTGTGTGGAGGGATGTCAGTGCACCTCCGGCTTTGTCGTGAGCGACCAAGACTGTGTGCCTTACAGCGAGTGTGGATGCACTTACCTCGATCGCTACTATCAGGTGAGCCTTTTGATGCATGTCAAATACTACAGGTTAAAGGTTGGAATTGCACAAGACATTGTTGATCATGTTTCTCTGTACCCTTCCACACGCAGCTGAAGGAGACATTTGTGACAGAGGATTGTTCACAGAGTTGTGAATGTACTACCACTGGCGCTGTGTGTCAAACAAAGGGCTGTGGAGACAACGAGATCTGCACTGTGTATGACACCAAACGTGACTGTTATAAATGTAAGTTATTTCTGACTCAAAATATATTTGATAAACATATAATGCATAGCTTTCAGTTTTCCTAGTCTATGAATGATTCAGAATTGGATATCATATAGTAAAGTTAATTATAACTATGGAAGCCCATTTCTGCCATGTGATAAAAATAATAGCAACATTTTTATCTCACAAATCAGCCTTTTTTTCCAAAATTCTTAGTTTACATCTCACAAATCTGTGTTTTTGTTTCACTGAGTTCATGCATTCTTTATTTTACTCACAATTTGCTCAGATTTTTGAGGAAAAGTATAAAAAACAGTATTGTGAGATATATATACATCATGGTGGAAACGAGCTTTCATATATTACAGATGTTTCAGATTAGTAATAAACTGATTTTTAACTTCTTTTGCCTTCTTTTTCCTTTCAGCGAGTCCATGTTTGAGCTCGCCCTGTCAGAATGACGGTACCTGTGTGGATAAACCAGATGGTTCTGGTTATACCTGCACTTGCACTGAAGGTTTTGAGGGCACAAACTGTGAGGTCTTTAAAATCCCTTCCGAGGGAGGCCTGGGTAAGTGAATGTGAACGGACTGTATTCATTCCTAATGTAAAATTCTTAATCTAATCTAAAAGATTCAACCATATATGCCAGTCATATGTAACATGTTTTTCCTGCTCGCTGTTTTGTAGATCAAACAGCTATTATCTTGATCGGAGTCCTCGTGCCGCTTGGCGTCATCCTCATAGTCACAGCAACTGTGTGCATTTACAAGAAGTGCAGGTAAAATTTATTTAAATCTAACAACACTGATCTTGCAATAAAGTCAAAAATTAAATGATTAGGCAAATTAAAGATTGTTAATCTTTTTTTACACAGCCGCAAAAAAATGAGTTACGATTCAAATAAGCAATTTGAGCTGAACAAAAAGACAGGTATGTGGTGACTGATTATAATACTTTTTTTCTTTCTAAAAAAAATCTGAAATGTATAATGTGAGCTGTAATTTGAGCGTTTCTAAATGTGTCCACAGATCATCCTTATGAAACTCTAGATGAGGGTAAGAAGCAGGGAACAGACAACAGTGTGCTGAAGGCTACTACATTCTGAAGCAAAACCTCCATTTTTTGACAATGATTTGCTGACGAGATTTTGCTTATATTTATTCATTTTAAACGTCTTTGTGGAATATGTGAACTAACTGGCAAAACCTCTGTTAATATTTTACATTTTTCAACTTTTCAGTAACTTATTTGTAAACTCCATTGTAATTTTTGGTGTAAGCTGTGTTTTGATTTGGGGAATGAGTGCAATTATCAAATGAACAGCTGATGTAAAATAAATTATATTTTCTTCTGAAAATATATTTTTTTATATTTTAAATAAGTTAACAAGACAATTTATGCCCTAGCTGCTTTTATTTAACCTGTTCAAGTGCAACACTCCAATAACCAACAACATTTCCAATGACTCGGAACACTTTTGTTAACACTTCAAACAGCAATTAAAGGCATATAAAAACAAACAAACAAAAAAAGTGCACAGCAGAAGTTCATAGAAGAGTATAGTCAAAATTGTCTTGCTTGACCAGCTATCTAAATGATTGAGTTCCACAAGGACTTTCCACCAGACGAGCTTCTTGGCCATTCAAAAAACCCAAAACAAAAAGTCTGAACAAACAATACAAGCGCAATACTCAACATATGTATGCACTGATACCTTTTGCATAACTTCTAACCTCAAGCTATTTATACAGAATGGGAGTAAATCCAGTGGTTAGAGTTGTCAATTAACAATTGTTCTGTGATGTGCCTTGTCAAGAGGCTAAAAACAAAGAATCCAAATGTTTTTGAACCATGCTGTTCAGGAAAATATAATATCCAGCCACCAGTCCTTTGAGCATTCCTTCTTTTTCAAAAAATAAGTTACAAAAAATTAAATAAAGTGCTTACAAAAAAATAAACATGATAGTCCAAATCTTTTTGTTCTGCAATAAATGATCCACTCGTGCCATGAAAGTTTTCTTCACAGGTTTTCAATGTAAAATAATAACATAGTCCAAAACAAGAAAACTGGCCAAGATGCAAATATGCAAAATTGCAAGTGAAATGAATTGAAAATTAAAATACATCACAGTGTTTATATTAAAACGTATTATTTACACCCACAAATGGTTTTGAATCATTGTTACATTTCCTCAGAATAAGTAGTCTGTCTAAACAATTCAGTCTGAAAAAATGAAACATTCAAGATCCTATATTCGGACACAATATAAAACCATGTGCAACATTCCACAACAAAGGAAAAGGGTTTTCAGTCCCAAGGATTAATCAGTAGTCCTCACATGTGCACAGAAATGTAAACATTGATAAAAGAAATCAATCGTAACCCCATTAAATGGCACAATGGGGTGACGCTTTACGCCAGTTGATTATTGATTATCACTACAGCCTGAGGGCTTGTACATATCAAGCTCTCTGCTAAAGTCCGATGTTCAGTGTAAATGCATAGAAATCAATACTACTGTATGACCAGCATCTGCCCTGATGCTTCCTGGGAGTTTGTTCCTGGACATCTAGCGGGAGAAGGGCGAGATCATTTTTGAGAACACACAATGCAGCAGGAATGTGACAGATTATTTCTAAAGCCATGAAAGGAGGAGCAGAAATAAAATGGCATCTGCCAATAACACAAGCTCCACCACCACCAGAAGTGACTTGATTGGTGTGCTTACATGTGAAACCTGTAGAAGTTGAACAGCCTGAAGAACTGGAGTGTTAACATTACAGCAGTGAAATAATTTGATGAATTAAATAAATACTAATTTAACAACACGTACACATAACTACTGAGTAAGGAATATCGGTGATACAGTTACACTGCAGGGTACAATAAATGCCAGTCCAAAAAGATTCCAGGGTTCAGGACTGAAAATGAAAGAAACCGTCTGATTGCTCACAGGCACGACATTGCAAACCATCTTTCAAGTAATTAAGGAAAACAATAAAAGCACTTTTACAAAAAGGAATGCAAAGAGGAATTGAATTTAGGAAGGGAAATGTTGGCAGTATTGACAAATGAAATGTAAAGACATTCAAAAAACCTATCCAATAGTAAGTAGTAAACAAAAAAAAACATGACTTTGTATGTGGCATGCTTTTACAATGGATATGACTAGGCCCAGATAGAATCTGCTGAATTCTTCATTTTTTGCACTGATATTGGGAGCCAAATTTACAGAATAGATTTAAACATAGCAAAATGTTTTTAATAGAGTGCTAGATTAATTTGTAGCTGAAAACATTACCAAATTAGCCAAACCATTAAATAAACAAGCACGCCTGGGTATGACTAACCATAACCATCCATTCTCCATAAACAGCCATCAATACAATATTTTAACTTGTATGTAACACAAGTCTCAGAACTTCATGACTCCAGTGAAATGTCCTATGGATAAACCATAAAAACCCTGTTTGTGTTTATGCTTTCTTTTCATTCCTTCTGTTGAAAATGTCAAAAACAGTAGCTGCATGTAAACTGCTTTGAAATTATTTAAAATAATCGTACTGTACAGCATGTAAACAATGAATGCTGGTAAAAGGAAAACAAAAGAACTATATACTGAACTGAAACTGACAGACATTAAACCCCGTTTTTGATTTACACTACTTCATGACACATTTTGCCAAAGTTAAAAAATATCCCTACTTCGTCTCCCTCTGTGTGTTTGGATTCAGGTGTGTGAATCCAGTACCAGCACCTTGCACTCACGCTTGGCAATTTTGTCGAGTGACAAGATGTTCCTGTCTGGAGGGAGGTACAGTGGCCGTCCAACAGGAGAGCCCACGGGAGGGGTGATGGCCCTGCGCTCCATAACACTGCCTGTCCTGTAAGACACAAACAAACATGAACATAGACATCGACCTGAGCTGCATAAATGAGACGATCATGATTTGACATAGAAAACAGGATGTACCAGTTATTGGCTATATCAGAGTTCCCGCCTTTGTGGACGGTTCTAAATCAGTCAACTAAGATAATGCTGAAGAACAGGTGTTTTCCAGGTTAACAGGTTAGTAATACTGTAAAACATTATTGTTTTTTAAAACAAGTGTTTTCTATTAAAATATGGTTTAAAATGTAAGTTATTCCTGTGATCAATACACCAGTCTTCAGTGTCACATGATCCTTCAGAAATTCATTTTAATATTTGGTGCTAAAGAAACGTTTCTTATTGTTATCAGTGTTGAAAACTGCTTAATATTTTTGTGAATCTTTAATCTTTGAAAGAATCCTGAAAGAAAAAAAATAAGAATAATAAATATAAATATAAATATATATATATATATACATACGTAGAGTTCAGATGCAAAAGCCTCCAAGTGCCATCTGAAATTTTCTTCTAAAATTGGCATTTTTGTCAGGCTTCTATGTTTAAGTTCACTTATTTCACTTTAACGGCAATGAAAATAACCTATTCATTGCCATTAAAGTGAAATTACTGAACCTACACATAGGAGCCTGATAAAAAAAGAGCTCATTTTAGAAGAAAATTTCAAACGGCACTTAGAAGCTTTTGCATCTGAACTCTACGTATATGTTTTCTTTTCTTTCAGGATTCTTTAATGAATAAAAAGTTAAAGAACAGAATTTATTTGACAAAACAGCAAAGTCTTTACTGTCACTTTTGATCAATTCAATGCATTCTTGCTGAATAAAAGCATTAATTTCTCTTAAAAAATCTTATTGAACCCAACCTTTTTGAACATTGGTGTATATTGTCACTGCACCAAGAAAACCAATGAAATAATTAACTGAATTTATTGAAAAAAAAAAATGTTGGTTGGCAGTGCATCTTTGTCCACCTACTGTGTAAGTAAAATCAAACCTTTAAAATTAATGAAATTTTTTTTTTAATTACTATTAAAAATGCTGTCTTAATCCAAACAGAATAGAAATACAAAAAAAAGAAATTTACTGCTATATTAAATTATTGTTAAACATATATAATTCATATATAGTGTATGTGAGAAACTGTAAGATTGTACCATATTTACATAAAGTGAAATAAATGAAGATCATCTCTCTCTGTCTGTGTGTGTGTGTGTGTGTGTGTGTCACGTTTTTCTGATTTATGAGTAGTGGTCGACCGATATTGTTTTTTTGACAGCAAAAGTATGAAGCGCAGCATAATCTGAAATCACGAGTTTAAAGTTTGTCGATCGCGCATCTCCAGTGAAGCTGAACTCTCCTCTGGTCCGCATTCAATTCACACAGACAGACCGTCACGCAGAGAACACGCGATCATGCAGGATACAAATGCACACTTCATAAGATCTCACAGCTGGATTCGACTAAGTTTGCAAGGTTTTTGAAATTAGATGTTCATTAGTCATTCAAAGATTTGTTTAAATTATATAAATGCATATTTGCTGAATGCTGACGGCAAACGAGAAAGTATTATAATGTTTGCCTTTCTATTATTAACAATATAAAAGCAGTCGTTATAATACTTTTTTTGTATACATTTTAATTCCTTTGTTTAACTGTTCTATTTGATTATTAGACAGACTTCTGTCCGTATTAGACAGAACTGTTAACGACGACGGCAAACAAGACGGAGAATGTGAGCACTGTGTGCCCAGGCACTGCCGCTCTCAGCGCCGGCAAAATAAAAGTCCCGCCACAAACGCATTGGCCAAACAGAAAAACTTATCAGCCGATGCCGATATTTGAAAAATGCCAAATATCGGCCGATATATCGGTCGACCACTATTTATGAGGACACAAATTTGTCTAATGACATGGGTATGACATGGGTATTACAACGAGAAGGTGATTTATGTGGACATTTTGAGTGTCCCCATATTTCAAAAGGTTTATAAATCATTCAGAATTAGTTTTTTTGAAAATCTAAAAATGCAGAAAGTTTCCTGTAAGGGGTAGGTTTAGGTGTAGGGTTGGTGTAGGGCAATAGAAAATACAGTTTGTACAGTATGAAAACCATTACGCCTATGGAATGTCCCCACAATTCACAAAAACAAACCTGTGTGTTTAACGCTATACCTTGTGAGATGAAACTTTGATGGTTGCTGGTGAGAAAAGGACTGAGAGCGGCCCAGACTGAGACTGGCCTGATGTCGGTCCAGAATATCTCTGACCGCTGGACTCGACGGACTGTTCTTGCGGGACAAAGGACGAGCATCAGGGGGAGGGTTGGACACGGACGCTGTGAACTGTAGCTTCAGTTTCATGTGCTGACTCAACTAAAGACAGAGAATAGAATAGCGGATATTGAGGTGTGTAGATCCAGTAATGTAACTCATTGGTTTTGTTGAAGGAAGTGAAATAAAATACTGAATTGCTCATATCTCACACACACACACACGTAATGACTTTTTACCTCAAAAAGACCTGCTCGGAGTATCTGGAAAGCCACACTGACGGAAAGTGTACTGCCTTTTCGACAGTAACCCAGGTTACTGAAAGGAGAATGACACACCACTGCATTCACTGCAGGATCCTCTTTCTGCCCACGACCTGAGAAGAAGAGAATGTTGTAGTTATAATTAAGCACAGACACATTGAGATGTGCTACTCGTGCAAGATATGCATGTTCTAATCTGACCCTGGTTATGTCCTAATTTTCACCTCACCCTCATTTCCTGTTCTCTCTGCAATTTCCTTATCAATAAAATAGCAAAATATCCTACAAAAAACAACAACAAATAAGCATAAAAAAGAAGCTAAAAGCTACAATAACATTAAATCTTTTATTCATAAAGACATTTAAAAAATCAAATATGAATTAGTTTGAAAGTGTTATTGTCTATCTGCAATATAGTCAATATGCAGTCTGGATTCTTTTACTCATACGTGTTTGATGTGCTAAGCCTGACATTAGCTCATCTGGCATTACATTACAAATACTCACAAACACAGCTGTAGCCTCAAACTCTGTGTTATCTACATCTACAAGCATGAACCACACGCCTTATGAGCAAATAACATTTAGCAACTTTTGCCTTTGCTCTGTACTTTGCTTTTATCAGGCCTGTCTCTGATAACGTAACACTCCAGGCAAACCAGGCAAAAAAATTTCCAGGGCTGCGATATTCAACTTCACAAACAACACTTTTTAATTGATTGGCAATCTCTCACTGCTTAACAACACTCTCTCGCCTTTTCTGCTATATTTCCTCCACTTTAGTCGAACATTCTTCTTGACCCTATTTTTGACCATGATCCAAGAAGTCTTTCTCCTCCCTCTTCAAACCAGTTTTGTTAATGTGTACTAAAACTAAAACTATTAAAACATTGCATTTGTTAATTGCAATAAAGCTTAAATAGAAATCTAACTATTTGTATTTATTATAAAATTAGAAATGGTGCCTAACTAATAAAAATGCAACAAATCACAAAATCATTTAAAAAAAAAATTATAATGAAAACTGAAAATATAAAAATAAAAGCCAATTCTATAATATTATATAAATAATACTATAATATCATATAAACAATACTAAAATAACATATCCTAGACTTAATCATATACCTACCAGCAGGAGCATTTCTAGCCTTTCATCAGTACTGATCCCTCATCAAAAAAGTCTTTTTTGATATTGTTATGGATATATAGATATAAATTGTCTTTACCTGCAGTGCAAAATCGGTCACAAGCTGCCTGCCCAGTAAACTGCTTTACAGCTGACAAACTGATGTTTGCTACAATAGATTATAGGTAAAATATCCACCTCCTCCACTGTCTCCTTTTTGTTTTCTGACTCAAAAAATATCCAATTACACTGAGAAACCGCTGCAAATGATTCAGTGCTTGAATGAACTGTCCATATGAATCAAACTGAATCACGAATAATTTCAGACCTTTTAGCAAACCAGTTTGACAGATTAGTTCAAGTAACTCATTCGCGATCTGGCATCACTAATAATTCTGATGCTAAACAGCTGATAGAGATCACTCAACATGATACATGTTAATATGTTAAAGCAGTCACACTAATCAATTCAATCACCATTCAGCTCCATGCACCCATCTGTTCTTAAACTTATTTTACTCATCTTCACCTTCAGGCGTCCAGACTAGTCGGACTGCCAGGAAGTCCTGCAAGTTGTTCAGAAGGGTATATCGCACCCAGAAATGCTCACGAGCCTTGACAGCACTGGGGCAGCTGGCGGTCATAATGAAGCGCGGACGGTCCAGTCTCACACTAGGGAGACTATAGTGAGTGTAGATAGAGTTGGTGAAGGGCAATTTAGAAGTGGACCACTGTAAGACTGCAACTAATGGCACCTCTAGTCCCTGTAGCAAAAAGAAACATAAAATTTCATTAATACGATTTAATTTTGAAATACATTTATATCATCAATTTTTTTAATTATTACAAAGAAGATAAATGGCTTTGGGATACATATTTGTAGCCTGTTATCCAACAAAATATCATGACAGCCCACCTCATTTGAATCATCTTGTGGCTGATTATTGAGCTGTAGCTGGAAGAGAAAGTTCTGCTCCTCTAGAGCACTGAGCATGCTGGGAAGGTGACTGGACTCACTGTCCATTCTGTAAAATGATGCCATGGCAACTTCTCCTGATTGATGACTGAAGCCGATAAACAATGAGATAAACAGTAATACAAACTCTCTCAGATGCATCTTGCAAGGGTAAAATCAAAATGTATGAAATATCAAAACATTAAAAACTAAAAACTAATTTATTATTAATGGATGGCATATTTAAAAACATCAAATCATGGGCACAAATCTTTGTGCATGATTGTATTTTCAATCATGCACAATCATGCACAAAAAAAATTTGGTAAGCTATCAAGAATAACAATTACATTTGCATTTCCTCAAGGAAATAGCAGTGCTATTTCAAAAAGTTTGTTTTTGGGCTTTGGTTCTGTATTTTTAAAAATAGTGTGAATAAATGGTTAAATGTATTCCAAGAGATCAAGGTGCATCAAAATTGGGTATACATCAATTAAAATAAAGCATTTAAATATTATTTTGACATCATCATGGTCAGTCACTTTTTAAATGTTGAACATTCTACAACTTTTAAAAATTATGACGTTTAGCCAATAAGTAAACCAATATATCTTGTGTTATCTACAAAAGAATGTTGGAACGCTGAAGTGTTTCAAGCTGAATACATAACAGAAGTTTCATTAGCGACAGAATTTATAACAAACCATAATCAGAATGTCTGAGGATGTATTGTAATCACACTCACAGGTGTGCGAGGTCACACATAATGCTTTCTCTTACCAAACGTTGTCCACCAGCAGCACCGAGCCATCTGGCATCATTGGTAAGTATGAAGCATTGAAGTTGGGAAGGATTTTGACATCACGCACACACACTTCCTCTTGAGAACTCCCATTTAACACTGAAACAATCAAATGTTCAAACATACATAAACAGGTCGTCTATCACATAAAGATACAAGAAACCACAAAAATGAGAGACGGTCCATGCACTACAACACTACAGAACTACTGCCTACTTATGCACAAATTATGTCTACTGATGTGCTTACACTATAGCAGCGGAGACTAAATCTATGTTTGAAACTGTCCAGCTATGAAGCAGCTGAATGAAACTGAACTATGTACAAGTCCTATGTGTTCCCCATAAATGCATTAAATATTTCTGAGAGTAGCTGAGAGATTTCAAGAAAAGACAGCCTAACAAAGTCATATAAACATATCCAAGCATCCTCCCTTGAAGACTGGTTGGGTAGATATGGGGGAATCCTTACTTCTATAATGATGTATGAATGTCTTTTTTCCCTCTTTTAAATTAGGACCATTAAGAACCTATTATATCATAATCAGAAGACAAACAAGACACTAGTATTTATGAAAAATTCACAAGATAGGCTTCTATTTTGAAACAGAGATTTTAGGACAATGAGAATCACAGTTACACTGACAATTAAAACACCTGCATGTCTTCAAAAGTTTAGGGTTGGTAATATAATGTTTTAAAAAAAAACTCTCTTATGCGTACCAAAGCTACATTTATTTGAACAAAACTAAAGTAAAAGTGCTAATATTGTGAGATAGTATTACAATTTGTAATGTTTTTTATTTTGATATATTTTAAAATGTAATTTATTCTTGTGATGGCAAAGGTGAATTTTTTAGCAGCCATTACTCCATTCTATAGTGTTACATGATCTGGTGCTCGAATAACATTGCTTATTATTATCAGTGTTGAAAACAGTCAAGCAGTTTAATGGTTTTCTGGAAACCGTGATACAATCCCAAGCCCCCACCCCCCACCCCCATGACTTTTTGATCAATAGAAATTTTAAAAGAGCAGCATTTATTTGAATAACATTATAAATATCTGTAACATTATAAATGTCTGTAATGTCATTTGTGATCAATTTAAAAGTATTATTTCTTTAACAAAAAAAAAAAACCTTAATGACCCCAAACTTTTGAAATTTGTGCTTATAAAATGTGACCCTGGACCACAAAACCACTCTTAAGTCACACGAGTATATTTATAGCAATAGCCAACAATACATTGGGTCAAAATTATCACTGCAAAAAAAATGCTTTTCTTACTTAAATTGTTTGTCTTGTTTCCAGCCAAAATATCAATCAAGAAGGATTTTCATAATTCAAAAGTCAAAATCATTGTCTTTAAGTGAGTTTTTGCTTAGGACAAGCAAAATAATAATTTATTTTAAACAGAAAACAAGATTATTTTGCTTACCCCATTGGTAGATTATTTTGCTTGTTCTAAGCAAAACTCACTTAATTTTGACTTGTTTTTTCTGAAAACAAGACAATAATTTTTACTCATCTAGAAAATCCTTCTCGATTTAAGAATTTTTTGATATTTTGGCTGGAAACAACACAAAAAAATCAAAGTAAGAAAAGCATTATTTGCAGTGTATCGATTTTTCTTTTATGCCAAAAATCATTAGGATATTAAGTAAAGATCATGGTGCATGAAGATATTTTGTACATTTCCTACTGTAGATATATCAATACTTAATTTTTGATTAGTAATATGTGTTGCTAAGAACTTCATTTGGACAACTTTAAAGGTGATTTTCTCAATATTTTGATTTTTTTTGCACCCTCAGATTCCAGATTTTCAAATAGTTGTATCTCGGCCAAATATTGTCCTATTGTCCTAACAAACCATACATCAATGGAAAGCTTATTTATTCAGCTTTCAGATTATGTATAAATCTTAATTAAAAACAAATTGACCTTTATGACTGATTTTGTGGTCCAGGGTCACAAATGTGAAGAAAAGCTAGAAATAGGGCTGACATTACCTTTGAGGACAGTTAAGTGTCTCCCTGAGACTGTCATTTGTTGACACTTTACAGTCGGAGGGGGCAGAACATTAAGTGTGGTGCTGACTGTTAGCAAGCAAGAGAAAATGAGACCAATTTAAAACAATTTCCTAAACAGCATAGGTTTCTAAAAAATTTTTTTTTTTAAATTTACAGTACAAAGGCTTTCCGAAATTCATGAATGTAATTTCAAGAATGCAAGTGACACAGCAAAATAAACTAAAATCTAAAAACAAGACATTGACACTTACAAGAACAGGAGATAAAGAAACAAAAAGAGGAGAAATAATGAAAGGAAAGCAATGGCGATGAAGTGATGAGTGAAAAAGGCAGATCCCCGAGGTCCTAAATCAATAATGACAACATGCAGTATTGTAATGAAGGAAGCAAGAGCTCACCCTGCGCTTTGAAGGTGTTCAGATCCTGGCGAAATGTTTGGCAGGGGCTCTTTTGTTGGAGAATCCTGAGGTAGCCATGCTCTTGGATCTCAGCTTTCTCCTCTTCTTGCTTCCACACAGTTACAATTATCTGCATTGAGGTAACACACATACATTCACATGTATCAGAGCAACACATGCAACATGACAAATAATGAGCACTGGTGTCTGATTTTATCTACATTTCTTGCACACACACTCACACTGCTTTGCATTAGAACCTTGCACAAGCTTGTACAACTAATCAGCAACACAATCATGTGCAAAGAAATACATTCCTTCATGTTCTATTCATACCAATGCCACCACACCAATATCAACTGAAAATATACAACCATATGCTTGAATACACAAAACACAGAACACAAAAACACATACACATCAGCCATACCTTCACTTTGAGAGTGTTGACAGGAAGCTTATCCAGGGACACTGTCAGGGGGAAGATGACCTCATCGCTTAAAACAACTGGCTCATCCACAGGAGACTGAAAAAACATAAAGTGAAACTCTTCAAGGGGATACATGGAACAAGTGAAGACACTATTTTTAGTCTATGTGTAGAGCAGGGGTTCCCAAACCCCTGGAGGTCCATGAAGAAAATTTCAAGGGGATTGTGCGTTTTCAAAGCATGCTTCAAAGAGAAGTGCTGCACTGGTGTATTCAGTTTTTCTTTTCACAGTAAATGCAGCAAACCCCATCTCTGCATCTGCTGAGAGTTCACAGTTTCACTCAATCGCTTTGGCACATTTTTCGAAACAGCTTTAGCATTCTCTAAACTGTTAGTGCAATTGTCACAACTGTTTGCTGGAACCTCAGAACTCTATTGCATGCCTGCAAATATTAGTAACTCACTCAAAACATTTAATTCATGCTTCAAAACATAGTTGTTGTGTCAATGACTTGGCCAGTGGCACCAAAACACATGCAATTTGCTTAAATTCAAATTGAAATTCAAATTTGATGTGAACAAGAAACTGTTCAGACATCTGAACTTATTGCTTTGAGAAAAAAAAAACTTTCATTTCAGAATTGAGCCAAAGCGATTGAGAAAAACTGTAATGTGCATTTAGGAACACAACGTATGCTAGGCTCACTCTATTTACACATTCACATAATTTCTGATATTTTTGTGGGCAGACGTTTACAGCATTTCACAAGTATTTCACCAAAGTAAAGACTTAAGGATTTTAAATGCTTAAAGTTTGGATGTAAAGAATTTAAGGCATAAATATTAGGATTGTACCTTTTAGTGTAAAATAAAATTATTATTAGATATTCATTTTTATTTTACAGTATAATTGTAGTTTATAATGAGTTAATATAATAATAATAGTTGTTGTTATTATTATTATTATTAGATTAGGTTCCTAAAACACCAATGTGAATATAATGTGGACTGAGACACTATCACAACTAAAAAGAGGTTTGGGTCTACATTAAAGTTCAGACACAAAAACACAACAAACCACTTTCTAAAAAATATATTTCTGTTGCTTTACAGCAGAATTTGAATTCGTCCAATATTTGAAGTAGTTTGCATCACTGATTCTGTTATTTGCCTGTTTAATACTGTGAAGCTGCTTTGAAACAATCTGTATTGTATAAAGCACTACATAAATAAAGGTGACTTGACTTGATCTGTTTAGTTGCATGTCATGTGACTATAAACCAACATCAGAGAACATGTGATGTGTCATTGTATTATTGGAAAAATTTACTTCAAACCTCAGGGAGTACTTCAAGCCAATATATTTTGTCTAAGGAGTCCAGCTGACAAAAAAAAAAAAGTTTAAGAACTCCTGTTGTAGAGTTTGTTCTTGTACTTTAGTGACAATATCAAAGCCATACAACCTTGGCCTACAGATTGAGTATCATAACTCTGTAATGTCTGACTTCTGAAACTGGACTGGTGCATTTAAAAAGATTTGCACTACTGGTTGTGTGACGACTAGCAAGAAAGCAGTGCAAATAGGAAACTAAGCCCTCATTTCACAAAGTGGTATGGACCTCTGTTTGAAAAATCGCCTTGCTTTGCTTCTTATGAGAATTTTGCAATAGGAAAAAACACAGAAGCATTAAATGACACCTTGATGGGCTGCCAGAATTTTGTTAGGTGTGAAAAATGTCCTAAACTCTTGATTTAAACGCTTGACTTGATTACAATGATTCCAGATGTCATTTAAAAACTGCAGATGGTATTTTTCTCTTAAATAGTTTCTGTATGCTGGGCTGGGGTATACAGACACTTGAGAGAATACGGGGAGCAAGCAGGTCCAACTTCTGAGAAAAATACTGAAAAGGAGTTCCTGAAAAAACTCAGGTCAAATGACTAAGGTTAAAACCTCTCTTGGTATCAAAATCAACTCACCATTTTGTTCTAAAAATAGCAGAATGCTGTGAGAAGTCCTCAAGGTAAATGTTTCTATTTTTTACATATAACTTTCACGGTCGACAAATTATAAAAGCAAAAATAAAAAGCTGATGCTCAACCAACTCTAGAGAAGGTTCAATAATAAAAAAATACAAATGTTAAACTTCAGAGGAAAAGCTGAAGCTGACTGTTTATCTTCTGTCTTGTTCTTTTTTGTCTGTTTTTCTCCATCTAACACTACAAATATCAATATAAAAGACATAATTTGGTGTCCACATGGCATCACCTCATAGGTGAACCCCTCCTGTGAAATCAAATGGCTCTTTTTCTAGAAGATGTTTGGAGTCTTCATCTAAATGGCTTTTTCTAGAAGATGCTTGTAGTCTTCATCTTATGTACCTTAATATCCTATCATTTAATGATATTTCTCAAAAGTGCTGTTCATTTCTTTTTGTATAAAATCTTCTTTAGTTAACAAAACATTACTGAGTGCACCTGTAAAGGTTAAAGTCAGGACTGTTATAGAAATACACTGCATGAAAGACACATAGCATTCTGGCCAGAACACTAAAACAGGAAGTCCTTTCCATTACTGTGACTATCCTCAATTATAAATTGAAAGAGACTGTTCTGTATGGTTGCCAGCCATAAGAAAAGGCTAACATATCTCTCAGATAGTACAAAAGGAAATATCAACACTTCCGTGTTGTTATCATCAAATGTATTTGCATGCATAGCAGTGAACTTTAACTGTACAAAGAACAGCTACTCTCCAACAGACTACAGTGTTTGTTTAAGTAACTTACCTGTACAGGAGCCTTGCGGAATTCCCTCACGCTGTTGCCGGGGTTGTTGTGAATGAGGAGCGGCTTGCACTCCCTGAAGCCCCGGCACCTCGGGCCCCCTCGACCTGCGCAGCCCACCTCCGCAGCATCACAATCGTCCGTATCCTCCACACACTCGTCCCCGCTGCTGTGGTAGTCGTGATACAGAGGCTGTGTCCGCTGCCGGTTGTCGCCGGGGCTAACGCTGGCCACGGCGCAGAGAGAGCCAGCCAGCTCCCTCCAAGAGCGACTGCTGTGATGCTCCGAGCCGCTGCCGTCAGATCCCGACACCGACGCGACGCTCTGAGAGCGCAAAACCAGCAGAAAGCGCACGGTTTCCCCGAGATAAAGGTGACTGCGACGCGGGAGCGTGCGGTATTTGGCCGGGTCCGACAGGTCTGAGATGGGGACGGCCGGGAAATACATATAGTACTCGCATTGCGATTCCATCATTAACACCATGACCATCACAGCGCACTGCAAGCAGACATACAGCGAAGGTATCCGGTTAGCCCGAGCAGTCTGCAAACAACTCTCCCATTCAAACAAGAATCTCGAAATTAAACGAGACCGTTTTACCTTTCACCTCACTAAATATCACGGCTTCCCAGATTGAAGAAAAATTACATTCATCCTATTTTGTCCCATTTCGGTTGACTGCCAGTTGACGTCTACAACACATTCAAGTGCGCTTATATGACAGGCACGCTTGTCGAGTTAAGATGGAGTAGAGCGGGATAATAACTAGGCATGAATAGTCGCTTGTCGATTAAGATAAACAATGGGCTCGCTGTGCAGGCTATTATATTTAATTCCTTTGTTTGTAATGGTGTTCAGTTGAAATGTATTATATTATTATTTCCAACAAAATAACGTAATTATATTTTGCCATGCATGGGGAAAAGTCCAGCGTTTTGAAGCTGTTCTCCATCTAAGTATAAATGTAAAAAAAAAAAAAAAAAAGTTATTGTTCGAGCTAATGAAGATAGTAACATGGTAAATATGGTTAAACTGTGTTCTTATTGAGAAAATTAAGCTTTAGATTTGAGACTTCATAAAATCCACTCTTTTTTGTCATGCATTTGACCCCTTCCTTTGTTCCTTTACATCAATAAATGCTTCTATAAAAAATTATTTTAGCTTATTTCATGAAAGGCAATTCATATTAAATTGACTGATTTTCATTCAGTACTGAGATCCTGAGGTGCATGATAAGAACACCAATGCTAGCCATTACAAAACATCAGAAACAAATTCATCACATGTAAAAGTTTTATTTTACTACATGCAAGTAAACCAAAATCAGGTTCATCACACGCAAATATCTACAGAGGTTTCCCCATATATTCAAGTAACAGAGAAAAATAATAAATATGGTAAACAGGTTTGAAAAAACTTAACATAAACATCACGTGAATCGCATTATAGTCTTAAAAGTGCAGAAGAGGATGAATGTGAATGATTTTAATCATCCTGCTCAAATAAAACTGACTGATACTGATTTACAGATTGTGTTGTAACAGAACTGTTGCATTTTTCTCATTTGGAGAGCACACTTTTAATTAAACCACTACTCATTTATTTTCCTTCCCTTAAGAGATGATCGTTGATGCAGACCGTAGGCTGCATTTGCACCTTTGCATTCCATCTGAATTCATTTTATGGTCAACGAATGTAATGAAAAACTGTGCCAATTTTCCAAGATTCCAAGCACAGAAACATCAGTACCTCTTTGGTTTATCTTTAAATTGCAGTACCACCATTAATCTACCTAAGGAGTCATGAAGACACTGAACCAACTGATTTGTATGACACGCAGGTATTACAGCACAATATTGCCAGACTCATTAGAGCTTTCTCTAAAATGAGATGAACGAATGTAAAAGCTATACATCTCAGGCTTAACAGGAAATCAATGCTTAAATTCAATTTACTGTGAATTTCTTCAAACGCGATTCACAGTAATAGCATTATAGTTTTCTTTTTAATGGAAGAAACATTAAATCTGCCAACAGCACAGTTTATAAAGAGAAAAAGGTATGATTCAAATGGATCATTGTCTTGGATCACTGACTTTCAAATGATGTATTTTTTTGTAAAATATAATACGTTCTGTTACTTTATATTCCCTGAAAACAAACTTTCATAGTTGTTGTTTAAAATCTGAATTTAAATCATTTAACTGTTTTTTGATTTTAGCTCCATCAATAACCAATTCATGTGAGCTGCAAACACAGAAGCCACTGTGAATAGAAAAAGTGAAAGATAAAGACTGTTAATTAACTGGCAATAGTGCAATCCAAACTAGAATGGAATGGGGTATTAAAATGCAAGTCAAATTATGCAGTTGTTTATCAATTACACAAGGAAATAATTGCTAACTATAGCCATGCATATAAATTCTAACTATACAATAAACGATGCACATGAATAGGCACGCACCAGTGACCAAACTAGTGTTTTCTTCATTTCAATACCATCTGCCTTAGAACAAAGGAAATCAATTAATTGGTAATGTTAGATGTCATCTTGCTGTGTGCATTGAAATTTGCATACAAAAAGCTGGCTGTTCATACATGAGGCAATTTGCACAGTGCATTCCAGTCAAATTCCTACACTACGTTTTCTCAGCACTCACAATAAGAGGAAAAAACATTTTAGTTTGAGAGTATAAATGCAGAAGATACACAGAGAAATGTATACAAAAGCATAATAAATACAGCAAGCTTTGATAGTAAAGCACTGCTTCACAAAGGTACTAACTGTAAGGCAAAATAACCATTGAGTTTTGGAATTTCAGGTGGAGTTATGATCATTAAAACGTCTATGACAGGCCTCAGAAATTACAGCATTTACCATGCCAATGAACATTCACCATCTATTGATTTTTTTTTTTTTAGATTTGATGTTTATTCAAAACATCAAAATAAAAAGCTAAAATATCAACCTCTAGCAAACATCAATAAGTAAACAGACTGTTATAAGAAGTGCAATAGCCAATCACTTAAGGTTAATAAATACAAATCTACAGCCCATTTTGCCCTTTATGAATGGTCATATTATTTCACAGTGTTAAAAACTGGAGATGTTGTTCTCACAGAACCATGGGAGCCGTATTAGCTTATAACGTGTCACTAAAAATGTGTGTGGCATAGAAATCAAAACTTTGCAATGAATTCCTCTTAAAAACACTGTCAAGATTCCTGTTGAGCAATTACCCATATAAATGAATATAAAATTAAATTCCATCAACTCTGAACAGTACCACTGTTTGAATCTTGTGCCAGACAATGAAGGGTCTGTGATTGCACTTTTGTTGAATTTCATCATGCAGCAAATGTATATCCATCGTGTCTTAGTACTATAATCAAATTCAAATGCATTTCCAATATCAAACTGTTATTTCAATGGATGCACAAGCCTACTTTTTTGGTAGTGACACTGGATGTACACCAGCATGACCATTTAGAAGTTTGGGATTGGCAATACTTTTTTAATGTCTTGTTTTCACAAAGGATGCATTTATTTGATCAAAAATACAGTAAAAACAGTTATGTGAATGTGCCATTCCTGCAATGGCAAAGCTGAGCTTTCAGTAGTTATTACTCCAGTTTTCAATTTCATATGAACATTTTTTCCAAGATTCTTTGAGTTCAAAAGAACGTATTTTATTTGAAATAGAAATCTTTTATATCATAATGAATGTCTTTACTGTCACTTATTAATTTAATGCATCCCTGCTGAATGAAATTATTAAGCTCTTTCAAAAATAATTTTATTGACCCCAAACCTTTGAACGCTAACGTACCAAAGATACTTTACCTATTTAAAAATGGGCTTTTAGCAGTATGTTTGAAACACTGCTACCACTTACATAACGTGCACTCACTGCTAAATTTTTTGTAACATACCATGGATTCATCATGGACAGGGAAGCAGCATTTTCTCACTTCTCCCCAATATCAAACTCACGACAGTGAGTCTGTGCATTTAGCCTCCATATGGCATGCATGTACCATTATATCACCCCAACCAATGCAATGTACTCACAAACCTCTTCTTCACTCTGAAACTCTGTGTTGTATAAAATAAGAGTGTAGAAGGGCAAGATGGAGGGAAGGAAGAGTTGATGACAAAGTAGTGTGTTGTATGTCTTGGATATCCCTTCTCCTCTAGTAGTGCAGCACAGAGGCCCGTCGAGCCAAAATGGGTCAGAACTACTGACCCTGAGGCAAAAAGGTGCAACTAGCTAACTATCTAAGTCTTACTTTTGAATCAACCTGCTCTAATGATTGATTCCGAAACAGAATGGTCCCATCCCAGTCCTTCTCCACCAACCTCTTTCCCCCACGGTCTTCAGTCCTGAGTATTGAGGGCTCCCTCTTTAGTGGAAGCCCTCCAGCGGCAGCGGCTGGGGGTTGCTGGGCTCGAGGGAACTGCCGAACATCCAGCAAGTCTTTGTATTGGATCTCAGGCCTGATCATGCGTAGGCAAGCTTCCCACGTGGCGTTGTCTAGTCCCGACTGCAACTCGTAACCCAAGATCTTCACTAATCCACTCTGGAAAGGGCGGATGGACTTGTCCCGGATGCGACTGGCCTCTATGGGGCGGCCACCATCACGCAAGCAGATCCGAGTGAGAACCTCCCGTTTGGTCCTAAGCAGGGCCACCTCAGACTCCATCCTACTACGCCCGAAGCGCTCTACGTCCTGCCAGAAAGTGAGATTAAAAGCTTGGTAAAGGTGCCAGTCTAGTGCATTCCATTCACGTAATTTCGATCTTTGCTTGTCTGTTAATGCCAAAGGAGCTGGAGCTGCAGCCTTGACCACCCATCCTGATCTTCCACTGGGCATTTGCTGCCTGGCGTTCAGGCTAAAAGAAACCACAGCATCTAGCGGCCAGCAAAGAGCATGACGGAGCAGCACCATAGATTGGTCGAAGTACTCTGAGATAAGGATGAGCTTGAAGTTCCGACGCACTGCTGCCACACCGCGCTTGACCAGCCCGAGGCTGAAGTTGGAGGTATGATCCAGACCAAAATCAAACCACATCAGGTTGCGGGCATAATGGTTGTTTCGGAGTCTGGGGTCGTAGTACTTATAGGGGTTGTCTGCAAAATCACCTAGTCCTTTGGCACGCCTGAAGGCAGGGGCAACATTTTTATAGTAGGCATAGGAGGATTCAGCTAGAGCCACAGGGTTTCGAAGGATGGAGAAATAGAAGGTGTCAGCTGGCATGACCTTCTCAGCCTGCAATGAAAGTAAAAAAGAGAATCACATTACAAAAAGAATCATCTTTAATCATGTACCTGAAATAAAATATTGAATGTAAATGTTCATAGGAGATTTCTCATTTTTCTGCTTAGGTTTCTATTTAAAGAAAATAAAGATGCATCAATCAAAAGAATCTGATTATAAAATAACTTGCATGATTATTTGGTATTTATAATTAATGAAAACATAAATATACTTGGTTGGATGGTTTTTGCAATTTATGCTTTTTGATGCTCAAACTGATTTACACCAGAAAAACAAGATTAATACTAAAGAAGTAAATCGATTTTATTGCTAAGACCCATAAATAATTTATCAAAAGTGATTTTCAACATATCTTTTTGAGAAAATGCCAGCTATCATGTGATGTACCTCTGGTTTGTTGAACCGCATATGATTTCCCATAATGTCAA